CTCATATCATTCTTCTGTCTAGAATTAGATATTGGTAAAAAATCCATCTATCACATACAATACAATTCACTACCAAATAACTTGAAGAAGAAAAATTCAAAAAGGAATTCAAGAAACATAATTATACTCCTGTAATATTGACATCATATGTCATTTTAATGGTTTTCTTGTACAATTACTATAGTTTTCCATTGGGTACCTAACAGAGTCAATTCAGAATCATTTTCTGTTGAGCTTAAAAAAAAACAAATGATTTCTTCTTGAGTGTGAGTCTTATTTTACTGTTTTATTTATTTTGTCAAATATATCTATATATTCACCATGTTCCCTGCAATAAAAAAACATAATTTCTTGGGAAGAATGAATTTGATTGATTGATATTGAATATTGATAGAGATTTGAAATCATACACTACAAAATAGCAAAACTTGTCTATATTTGATTTCATTGACATGGAAATGTTCAACCAACCATGTAATACACAGAATCAAAAGTATTTTCATCATGTAATTGTAATTTTCCTATGATATATGAGATGACAATATGTATACATGTGTGCATAAAGAATAGGGAATCAATATCAGGAAATAGCTGGAAAAAAATGTTTACAAATTGCACATTGAAAATAAAGAGTTCCTAGAAGAAATCATATAATTACAAGGTGATTTTGAAATAAGTACATATATATCAAACACATGAATATGATAAAGTTGTGACAAGTATTCCCAAAACATTAGATTTTGTATAAGTCTTCTATTTGAGGAGACATTCCATCTTGAAAAAAAAAATTTTTATTGAATCAAGTATATAATGTACAACCAACATAGGTCATAGGCTATCAACCAAAGTCTATTTCTTGAAAATTGATAAAAAATACAATAAATTCTTTTCTGGTATAAGTTCATGTTGAGGATCATCATCAATATCCTTAATTTCCATGATTTCAGGTGGGATACAAGATTGGGAGGTGGAAGGTTCTTCAATGGGAATAGTAGGACTTTCATCCATACATACATCATCACAGAGGCTACAAATGGAAGGAAGTTAATTTCAATGTCAATTTATCATCATTTATTTGGTTGATTTATTGACATACAGGGTGTCCCTGAATTTTTTTTACAAAATGATACCATAGACAAGCATAGACTACTGAGATCAAAATGAGATAATTGAACTTATTTCACCTCTATATCAAATTGCTTTGTTTTTCATGCTTTGGTACCCTTTAAAATTATTTAATAATTTCAGGTGAGTACCAATTTCCTTTTCAAAGAGAATCATAGATGATATCTGATATTTAGGACATTTTAGGAATTTGAAATACTGTGTAGAATTATGTATTACATATTTATTTCAACGCCCTGTAGGGGCTAACCAATACATTTTGGTATAGAGGTTGAAGTTTAGTCCAATTATCTTATTATGGTCTCAGTAGTCTGTGTGTGGTATCATTTTTCATTTGATTAGAGTAACCTAGGGTAGCAAATGTAATTAATGTATTTTGTCCACATTTTTGTAATATGTAAGTATTTTATATTTATATATCAAAATATCAACTAGATTTCCAATATATTTTACTGAAATATGTATGTGTATGCTGGTGTTATTGTATCATATTATTATTATTGAAATAAATATATTTTTTCAAATACTGTCTGTATTTTAATCAAGGAGGTGCAGTACATTCATTATTCCAGATTTTTTTGGGTTTTCTCCTTGTTTCTATGGAATAAAAATATGTATATTATTTCAATATACCTGTAGTAAGGACAAATCAGATGATTTGTCCCAAAATGTAACTGCCTAAAGAATTTTCCTATCAGAGAGCCTAAAAGAAAAATTTACTAGCTTGTTAGTGACAATTTGTATTGAAACAAGTTTGGAGATGAGAAATAAAGGTATATAGAAACAATTTCAAATTTTTACTTAGCTTTGGACGTTTCAGGAACGAATCTGCTCACGTTTTCAACATAAAAAATGGATATTTGAATACCAAATTCATATTTCTCTTGGCACCTTCCAGTTCTCGGCAATGAAATGAGTTACAGGATGTTATCATTAATAAATCTTGAATTTACCATTTTCATTGATAGAACATGGTATTCACTTCTGAAATCTGGAGATGAAAATGGTAAATTCAAGATTAATTAATGAAAACATCCTGTAACTCATGTCAAGTGCAATATGAATTTGATATTCAAATATCCATTTTTTTATGTTGAAAACAGGAGCAGATTCGTTTCCCAAACGTCTAAAGCTAAGTACAAATTTGTTATTTTTTCTATATATACATACCTTTATTTCTCTTCAAACTTTTTTCAATACAAATTGTCACTGACAAGCTAGTGAATTTTTCTTTTAGGCTCTCTGATAGGAAAATTCTTTAAACACAGTGACATTTTGGGGCAAATCATCTGATTTGTCCTTACTACACATATATTGAAATAATATTCATATTTTTACTTCATAGAAATGAGAGAAAATTCCAAAAAATCTGGAATAATGAATATTTTTTTTTACTTTCAAATAGTCATATTAAAATAAAGGAAAGTTTTAGGTCCATTATTGGAGACACTCCCTATGATCATCTCTAGGGTAGTTATTGTGTAATTTTATTTTTGAATAAAGGATAATAGGTACCTTGATCCTATTACAGTATCCTCAACTGTTAGTTCCATCAGACTTGTTGGGTCATTATTTTCTGTTATAGGTTCAGGTTGAGGAGATGGGATACCAGCATCAATTTGGGTATTTTCCATGTTTTTTTCAGGTGAGGTACATGATTGGGAGGTGGAAGGTTCTTGAATTGAAATATTAGGACTTTCATCCATACATAAATCATCATAGAGTCTAAAAAAGGAAGAAAATCAATTTCAATGTCAAGATCTACAAGTATTTTTTTATTATTTTATACATAATAAATAATTACAAAATTTTACAAGCTACAGCTAGGCTATGTAATAATTAGTTTAGAAAATCTAAAGCACTCTTTATTGAAAGAGTTTTAATATCATTCTTGAAAATATATATAGTGCATTTTCTTAATTACTGTTCTTGCAAGCCTTCAAAAAGCAGTGTAATTTATAATGAAAATATCAATGGTTTTCTGATGGGAGACCACAGGACTCAGCAAGTCTAACAAACAAATACTTCTACTACAAATATGCTCACCAAATTTCAAGATATATAGTATAACATTTTTTTAACTTCAAACCATCTGTTGAAAACAAAGCATTTGAAATCTATATTTATATGTTTTTTCTTATTTTAATGAGTAATATGACTTATTGAAGTTTGGTAGGTCATATTTATTTTGAGAATGAATTTTTTTTTATTTTAGGAATGTATAATAATGACCAAGACTATCAAATAATAAAATAGGTTTGGAATTTCAAATTAGAATGAAAACTAATTCATATGTTTCTATAAATATTCTAATGGACTCCAAGAAGATGATATGGTGTCTTTTGCTTTGATTTTCTCCAATTAGAAACATTGTATTTATTGATTGATGTAAAGGAATACTCTGTTGTTCCTGTTTTTTTTGCAACCTAACCTACCACTTAAGTATATAATAAAAATAATATGAAAAATATTACAGTTTGGAGGGCAAAGCAGATTTTTTCAGCTTTTTCATGCCTTGACATTCTGGGGGGAAATGCCTGGAGCATATTCGACCACTAGGTGGTAAGTGTTTGCCAACTGCATCAGCCCACTTTTGTGGAACATTATCCTCCTATGAAAGTATAAAGTATTATGATGAAAAAATGAAATGCAAAGTTAGAACTAAATTCGATAAACATGCAAATATTCACCTTGGGTACCCTGTACAAATGCAGGGAATGGCCTGTACTTGTTTGAGATTGTAGGATTGTCCACAAACTATGCAATAGTACATGATGTTCAGAGAGAATTGAAACACAACAAAAACTGAATACAACACTGAACTATGAATAACGACAACGCGGAAAACAACAACGAACAAGAACTAGAAACAACAAAACTCGAAAATAATAGGGATTAACACTGATAGGAACACTAAGGACTAAAACACTGGAAACACTCAAAAGAAGAACTGCAGACTGTAGAGAGAATACGACAGAATAACTAGGAATCGGAATGAATCCACACTAATTTTGAATTCGAAATTCAAATCGATAAATTTGACAATCAACGACCTTGACAACAGGCACACAGAACTGCAGATAATTAACAAGGTTGGTAGAACGATGATTTATAGCCGCAACGCCCTCTACAGGTGATTTCTGAACTATGGCCAATAATCCATCGACACTTTTTGACGAAAAACAATTGACAAGTGGAAACACCATAGTTATAAACATCTCAGACTGGATTTACTCTACTCTGAGAGTTAATTATCGAACGTACTCCCCGACCAGTAGTTGCGTTTTATTTGTTCCATTCTGCTGGTAGTGGTGGTGGGGACAGATCTGAAGTCGCTTGATGACGCCACAAGTCAAGAAGTGCCAAGTGCCTGAATCTTTCGAACCGTTCTCATCACGTGATATGTTGAGATTCGTGTTGTTTATGCTTATTTTTCGCAATAAAATTCTGGTCCATTTATAGCATGGCTTCAGCCCACTGTGATCTTTGATCATTCGGGTAGTGATTTAGGCTTTCATGGATGTTTTTCCTTCCCATCTAGACCAATGAATTCAATATAAACAACAAAACAACCTCTCTCATGCGTCCATATTGTATCACGTGATCCCGTGAAGGTTTTGGAATGGTTCGAAAGCTTTAGGTTCTCGTCTTCTACTTTCGTCTTTTTTTTTGCATTCTTGCTTTCAGTTTCTGCGTGTCAGGACTTTCACCTACTTTTTTTGTGTCTTGTGCTCGTGTAAATTGACGCTTGGCTCTTCTCACCAATCTCACCTTCTCAGTTCTCAGTCTTCTCAGTTCATTCTCTTCTTGCTCTTGCTTGCCAAGCTTGGCGTCTTACTTTTTCGCTGGTCGCTGGCGGTTCCCTGTTGGCTGTTGTATTCATGTTGTATTGTAATGAGAAAGTATCAAAGATGAATCAAGTATCGCTATAAAAGTATAAAATGATATATTCCAATATTTGGCCTATGAGTTAATATTATTTCGTGGCCTCGACTGCCGCCAATAAATAAGTGGCGAATTATTAATTGATAATAAGGCTGAAGGAATTGAATATTGTTTGGAGTTTGGAGTACTGGACACTCAAATAGTCATAACAAGGCTGAAGGGGGTAAGTAGAGACCGACAATTCCGAGGACAATTCATATTATATTAGTGATTAAAAAATATCCCAAATGAACATGGGGTTCTACTAGCAAATGATATATTTTCACTTTTCCTAACTTCTATATTTGGAGTATTGCATGCTGGAGCTAATCATATTTCTATAAAAAGATATTTGCTGAGTGTGCATTGCATTCTGATATTATCCATATCTCATCATCCTGTATCACTTTATTTCAAATTCAATAATAGTAGGAAGGTACTAATGATGTATTTATTATGTTAATGAGTAATAATTGGTAGGCAGGTATTCAGTTCATTGGATCATCACTCAGATGTGGTGTGTGATTTTTTTATATTTTATTTTTGGTATGACATAGTTTTTCAGTTTTATTTTTATGTTTGTTCTAGTTCTACCTACCTACAGTAAAAAACAGGTGCAATAGTTTTTCCAAACTATGCATTTCTGTAGCTATACCTAATTGAATGCATTTTTTATTCAATTCAATTTGTGAGTTGGAACATTTACATAATGCAAATAGCTCAGCAAATAGAGTAGGTGTAAATATATACTTCTATGAACTGATCAGCTTACCTACCTTCATAACTTCTTTAATGTAACTACATGCTTGAAATAATACTGAGAACTATTTTCATCTTGATTCACTTCAGTATTGTACATTTTGTTGATTTTATATATTATTTTTTAAAGGTTTATTGAAGAAACATGCCTGGACAAGTGATATCAGTTTGCATCTTCTGCTTCCTTTGTATGACACACTCATCTTGTGAATCACATTCTTCTACCAACTATGATTCAAAAGATTTGACACTGCTCCAGAGGTTACAAATACCTCCACAAGAAAAACTCAGATATGTGTCACCATCATTGATCAATGACAAAACTCATCAGGGAAAAACTCATGTGAAGGTGAAAAGAAACAGTGATTCAAATAATGATGATGATGAGACAGATTCAGATTATATCAAGAAAATATTCAGGCTCTACAGTGATGGAAATGTCATTACAGCAGATGGTTTTCAAAGATTCCTCTTAGATTTAGGTTTGCATGAGAAGATAAAACAGGTTGATGGAAGAACAGAGCTCAAGAGCAACAGTACTGTAAGTAACATTTCATTGGCAATTTGAAATAATCCATCCAAATAAAAGAAAAATAAAATCTAAATCAGAAATGTGATTTGGGCATCAAGAAGCTCTCTGAAATCCTTGAAATCAAGACTTCCACATGTTTTTTCACAGTATTGAAAAAGTCATTAATAAACAGTAGGTATATCCTAGAAATGCATCATCCTATTTATTGAGGTAGGCAACTTTCCAAAAACCTAAAAAATAAAGAATATTATCTTGGAATCATATTTCTCTCTGAATTGTTCATCTTAGCCTCAATGGTAGCCCTGTACCCTGATTCACCCCAGCTTGATTCTGTTTGTACATGATATGATTATGTGACTGTGAGCATAATAAAAGGTGTGTTTTGTCTATTTTTTTTTTCAATTAACACTAAAAACACATTGCTTCCATTGATTACCTTGGACACAAGAGTAGAGGTGACTTATTTTTACCCCTCTGTATACTTCCTTCTCTTGAATAATATCACAAAAGTTTATAAGTCTACTGTTATGGAACATTGATCAAGGTGGATCCTGCTGATAGAGATGTATAGAAATTTAACTCGTGGGCTCACTTCCTATTGGAGGCTGTTTTCCATTCTCTTCATGGTGCCTACTCTGATAAACTGCTGATCTATGACATTTTTCAAATGTTAAACAATAAAACATGATGATGGAGCTACTTTTATACCTCTTTATTATCTTCTCTGTAGAATGTTGAACAAGAGTGAGAATTAATTGAAGATAATTAAACAGTCTACTTATCAATTCAAACATATTTATTGTTTTACATGTAATTCATAGGTCTCTTTAGAAAGACAGACAAATCACCAGATTTCAGTCATCTAAGGAGTCCTCCAACTAGAATCATTAAAATTCAGTATTGTATTCTCAACCCACCATTCTATATTTATTTATTTATTTATTTATATAAGGATCATAATCATGCAAAGCAGCTACTTACTTGATAAATAAATACAAGGTGGGCCAGAAGAAGTCATCCGATGTTGTTTGGCTTTCATTTTTATTCTGAATGAAAAGCTTCGATTCTGTTTTTTGATTATGTTCATTTGAACCTTTAGAATTTTATTGGTCAAGTCGAGAAGATGATATCGGCCAAATGGGCGCCGCCATAGTTGATTTTTATATGGGCTCGTTTTATGGCATTTTTCATCACTTCAGCGAGAACTTCGGGCGACAGATTCTCGCACTCGTGTCGAGTTTTGTCCTTGAGGGCTTCCAGGGTCTCGGGCTTATTCACGTAAACACAGGATTGATAAAACAAGAGATGAGGCGACCCGGGAACGCCGCCTTCAGAATATCGGTTGTGGCTAGCGCAGTGTGTGCCGTTGCTCCGTCCTGTTGGAACCACACTTCCTCCAGTCCTAATTCTTTCAATTGCGGCAGAAAAAACTCGGTTAACATGTCCCTATAGCGCGCACAGTCCACTGTTGTGGTTTGACAAGCGGCGTCCTCGAAAAAAAAATCACCCGATGAATCCTCCAGCGTGAACAGCGCACCATGCAGTCATTTTGAACGGGTATAATGGCTCCTCGTGCATTACTCGTGGATTTTTGGTACCCCAGAAGCGATAGTTTTGCTTGTTCACGTACTAGCTGAGGTGGAATTGAGCCTCATCGCTCATTTTGATTTTTGTTGAAAAATCGTCCACGAGATTGAGGATGGCTTGGGGGTAGGTTACACCAGGGCCTACTCTATCTTACCGGGCCGGAGCATCGCTTTCGTGACGTCACACTAGTAGGGACAAAATCAAGGCAGTGGAAATTATCTCTCCCGTTTCATTGATTTACCTCGGGAAAACGGTCACAGTTAGCGAAAAATATCAAGAGGTCATATATGTACAGAAAAGAATTTTTCAGAAGATGAATCAAATTTCACTGATTTACGATCATTAATTTCAGAAATATGGCATATCAAAATTAGTTGACGCCATTCAGAATTGTCCTTTTTCAAACAGCTACCAAAATTCCAATATTCAATTCACAGAAATGATTCAATCATGAAAAGATTTCGCATAGTATCTAGATTGACTGAGTTTTTTCTCAAATTCCCAAGGGCCAACAACAAATCGATATTTCAATTCAAGTAGAACGATGATTCAGGTGTTCATTACAGAATAGTTCAAAAAGTTCGGACGCCTCCCATGCTAATCCTATCAACTATGGATATATGCTGTCACTGACTTTTTTGTGGGAAATTTGATTGCCTAAAATCGGTATAATACACATCCACTTTATCTCGAAGGGTTTTAGCAGCGTTTATCTCTAAAGATGATCAGGACGCACTTTGATGACGTTAGAAATCCTATCACTCGAGTGTGTTATTACACAAAAACGCCTATTCGGTATCAATTATTTTCTGCTGAAGTGAATATATTTGAATGATAACTTCAAATTCATGAAAAAAATTTGATTTGAATATATTTGAACAAAATATGTGGAGTTCATATGAACACAACCTAACAAAAATAATTGAAAAAATATGTATCTCAACAATGAGAGATATAAAAATGAATATAACGAACTGAATAACAAAATACCCAGAACAACGATATATGAATGAATAAGGAAAAAAGAAAAAAAAAGTTGAATCCTTATACACAAACAAAACCAAACAAAATAAACTGTAAAAATGATCAACATAACAAAATTAAAAAAATCGAAAGATATCACAAAATGAAATACACTAATAACAAAATATATATATATGCATCATTTTATTCACAAACTAAAAATTGAAATCTGAACTATATCTCATCCTGAATGTTTAGTGATTTTTCTTTTTAATTTTTTTTTTTATTTTGCAATAATTGTTCAACAGACAGATACAACAGATATTTGAAATGGTTTTAGAGAATGTTCTGCTGATTCCATCAAAAGACCCACAACTGCAACATTGATTCTCGGAATAATTGAGAAGGGAACTGATTTTAATTTCCAATTCTCCAAAACTTTATGTTGTGACTTACATTGTAGAAATATTGTTTCGAATTTTTCAGACACCAATATTAGTTGGTCTGAACCATACGCCATTTAGGAATATAATGAGTAATAAAAAGTATATCGCCCTTTACCAGTCCAAGGAATTACCGCGAAATCGTAATACAGCGAAATTTGGGTAGGTAGGTATAACGGCCCATTTTTTACGCGCTCTTTATATTTAATTTCTTTCATTGTAGGTAACTCTACAATTTTTTCACTATTCAATTGATTCATTATCGTAGTTTGATATATTGAGTTAGTTTCATCTTATTCCAATTCCAAATTTGCAAAAAATAGTATTCTGTAGTACAACGTCCTGATTTTCAATAAAATGGAATTTCGTTACAACGCCATAACTCGGTAGTGATTCATCCTTTTGGATTCATTTTTTCACCAAAAGTTGAGGAATTTGTTGGGGATCATTTCGTCTCGATTGAGTGTGCTTCTAAAATTTATAGTAAATGAGCTATAGCCTATCAATTACGAACGCACCAGAACGGACTGATGTGAAATCTCGATCTACTAGTGTGACGTCAGCGTCGAGATAGAGGGGATAGACTACGGCCCGGTGAGATAGAGTAGGCCCTGGTTACACGCGTTTGGCGGTCGACAGGCAGCAGCTGATGCACGGACTGGACTTTGTACGGGAACATGCGAAGGTATTTGACCAAAATTTGCCTTAGAGACGACCGGCTGGTGACTAATTGCGAGGCATGGCGTCTGGTCGATGTTTCTGGCGAGAGCTCGACATCCTCGGCAACAGCGGCGATATTCTCGGCAGAACGGGCGCTCCGGGGCAGGCCACTCTTGGCAGCGTCTCGTGTGGTTCCATACTCTTCAAGGTTGGTGGCCAAACGGCGCAGTCGGTGTTGGACGACCGGGAAATCGGCGACGGAATTCGCGCTACGCCAACACCACCGACGAATTGTTATGCAAAAAAAGACACGATTTTTCCGCGTTCTTGGGGAGTGTATCGCTCCATGGCTTGTACTTATATTCTACATCTGTCAGAACAGATTTGACATTTGCCGCCATTTGCAAAAATAAGAGCATCTTCCAATAGGGTGATTTCTTTTGGCCCACCTAGTATTATTATTATAATTATTAGATCTTCAAAAACTTGTTAACAAGCAAGACATGACAGCCCATAGGGCAACAATTTGGAGAAAATATCTCTAATTATTTTCTAATTTGTCGAATTCTCGTGTCCCCTGTGGACCACTCTATACAGGGTGTCCCAGAATACCGTTCGTATACCCCGGGAGGTAATTCGGCAAATAAAAATGAGAAGTAATGTTCCTATCAATATGTGTCAGAAAATTCTTCCTAAGGGTGCTAGAACCCTTTGAAGGTATGTCCATAAATGCAGTTTTCTTCAATCAACTTTATTATCACTGATCCTAGAATCACGAAATTTTGCACCTATAGATGGTTCTTTCTCAAAAATCGTTTCATGGTGAGAAAAACAAGATTCAATATACAGGGAGGTGAGAAACTCGTAACCAAAGCTATAAAAATGTCTCAAGTTTTTTTTTCAAAATGTATCGCAATTCTACCAGAATATGATTCTTCAATCCGGCACTTTCACATGAAAAAGGTATCCCTGCTAGAATACTGTAATACAAACCGTTTTCGAGAACAGGGTCATTTTTCATTAAACAAAAAATCACATAATGAATAAGTTTGTGAAATTTAGTCAATTGTGGGTATTTTCTCAACAAATCCTACATCATGATTACTCTTATGAAACAGAACTAACTGGAAATGTGGAATTTTATTATCATGGTCTAATCGTTTTATCATAACAACACGAGCTCAAAATCATTGAATTATTTTGGACATCAAAATGGAAAATTATACATTCTATATATATTCTCGAAAACGGTTCATTTTAATTCTAACAAGAGTGCCTTTTTCATGTAAAAGTGTTTGAAGAATCATATTCTTGTAGTGAAAATGAGATAAATCGTGAACCAAAAAATCTCTGGTCATTTTTATAGCATTGGTTACGAGTTGGGCACCTCCCTGTATATTGAATCATGTTTTCCGTACCACGAAATGGTTCCTAAGATCAAATCATCGTTAGGTACCAAATTTCGTGATTCTAGGATCAATGATAATAAGGATAATTTAAGAAAACTGCATTTAAGGACTTACCGTCGAAGGGTTATTCTGGGACACCGTGTATAACTCTGTGAACAAAAGAGTAAACGGTGGTAAAAACATACTGAAGCACCCTGTATACTCCATATTTTTTAGTGCTCACAAAGCCACCAACACAACGCAATCCCCAAACCAAACTCGTCAGATGTCATCAATCAGACCGAATTCTATGAAACTTGTCCCACCATATTGTACGGTCTACTAGCCCACCGCCTGTGCCCCGAAAATGCCTCCAGCCTCCATGAAGAAACCCCCTCGCCCCTGCGAAACAACGGTTTCGTGTGGCTCTGCTCCATACTGGCAGTGATCCTGATAAGCGCCTGTGGGGTGTTATCCTTAGCAATCGTCCCGGTGATGAAGAAAAAAATGTACAAACCCATGATACAATTTCTGGTAGCTCTGGCGGTGGGCACCCTGATGGGGGACGCCCTGCTGCATCTCTTACCCCACGCCATGTCTGCCCCCCATGCGCACGAAGGGGAGCACGATCACGTCGACCATCTGGACCATGATCATGACCAGAATATCCAGAAGGGCGGAGTGGCCATGATGGGGGTGATTTTTTTCTTTGTTATGGAGCGGTTTATTTCGCTGGCGGGGAAATGGAGGAAGAAGCGGCAGCGGCATCAGCATTCGCATGTGACGGTGCTGGACGAAGAGATGAACAAGATGAATAAGGGGGAGAATGACACTCAGTGCATGGACAGGTACAATTCGGTGCCGTTTTGCTACAAGGATATCATGAATGATCCAAGTGAGTTTTAGAAGGGGAGGCGAAGAGGCTAAATAGGGATTTACTCGAGGGTCGTGGGGACATGTCAGATGGTGAAGATTAGATGCGAAAATAAAAACAAAGTTTACATGATATATGACCTTTTACTGGTGGGAGAGCGTGTACAGGTGTTCAAAAAAAACTGCCATATAGAAATACTCTAGCACATCAGATATTAATAGTGTATGCGCCCCACGTGTTTCTGATAACCTAAAAATATAAATCTGCCGGTTGGCATGGTGAGATATTGAGAAGGGACGTTTAGTGAACCTTCAAGTAATTCCTTTTCAAAAGACTGACGATTTGGACGCGACCAGAAGTCATGATCAATTTTTGAAAATGAAAAAAAAATCGCGACCTTGAAATCCTCGCGCGCGTTAGATTATTATACAGACGCTTCATCTTGATGTCCTTGTCGTATTCACCAATAATCTGACAATTATGTAGAGGAATTATCTTAATCTGACGGTTGGATATTTTTTGTTAACTGAATATAATAACTAATATATAAAATATTCAGGGTGGGTCAGTTTTTTTGTAGCAGGACTTCAACAGCTCGAAGAATTCACAATTTTGAGATGGAATGAATAAGGCTAATGTAGACATACAGGGTGGGCCAATAGTGTGGCAAAGTGAGATAACGGCTTTGCTGTTTGAGATAGACAACAAAAATTCGTGAGATGGTCTAGTCTCATGAGCAGTACATTTCTGAAATACTTTGCGTTATACAGGGTTACTCAAAAATGCGTGGCGTATCAAACTTATACTTCTTCTTATAGCACACCTTGTATTTTATTGCTTTTTCAGATTCCTCCTTATGAGCTGACAATGTTCAAGCATTGATACATTACCACAATTATATACATAATTCCCAGTGGCTGCAAGCACCACACTTAATTGATGATTTTCGCTACTTCGGCTTGTGCAAATCGGCAGATTATGTTATTTCCGTGATCCGTGACTAATTGCCTTCAAAATGAGAAAAAAATTAACCGCGCTCGAGAATGTACAGGTGACGATTTTTTTTTGCAACTTTGTGGCTCTCCCATTTCCCTATGTCACGCTCAAATCGTCAGATTATTGAAATGCACACTTTTCTGCATGTAATTAACGTACCATGTCTTAATCTGACGTGCACGAGTATTTCTGATGATTGATTTTTTTCACTAATCTGATCGGCTGCCTTAACTTTCAACACCATATAAAGTGCCCAGGTATGGTGGGAGTACTTCACAGGGTCCAAGGATACCCCCTTATGTTAAGCTGCCGCGCTCGAGTAAATCCCGAAAATGTTGTTAGTTGATTATTCGACGCTTTGTTGACTATGTAGAGGATATTCCTGGGCAGCAGTCAAATATATCCAATGAGGGTTAACATGTTTTGATCGTCCACCAGATCGCGCTACTGGCCGATTTGTCTATACTCTGGAAATTTGCTCGAGTCCATCTATCTACAAGTTGCTGAACTATCTAGGAATATCTTTCTTTCTGAAGCAGGAAAATCACTAACTTTGATATTATGAAGGCTTTTAAATGAAAATAGTTCAATCCGGCCATGATGCGACATTCTTTCTGGCATAAAAGCATCTGAAACTAAACGTCGAATATACTGCCATCTACTGAAAAGAATTGCTGGCATCATTGCTCTCATAAGGACCCTTTCATCTTGTTAGTGTTAAAAATGAAGGGTACTACCCAGCAAATTGAAATTATCATAGACCTAAAGCTCCAGTAGCGGCAACTGGTGAGTATAGAAGTGTTAGTCCTCATTAGTTACATTTCTTCATTTTTTGTTTAGCCTTTGAAAATGTTAATTTTCTTCAGCAAGACTGACTACAAAAACTTATAATGAATAATATGGTGACATACATGATGAAAAATACTTACTAACATTAGAGGAATATGAAGTTTTACTGTGCACCATTGTACAAATGAAGGTATATGTCGTGAAAAATAAAGAATATTGAAATAATTCACTATACTTCTATCATTCTTCTATGTACCGGGTGAACAACTAGGAACGGCTGTCGGCCATATCTCAGCAACTAATAATGATACAAGTTTGAGATAGAATAAATCTAATGGTATGCATATCATTGCACAATATTATAGAGAATCTAAATCTCAACAGACCAACGAAAACCGCAACATGATAGCTTTTCGCCAACGGAAGGTATTAACTGTCAAAGTTGGAAGAATGATAGATATTACAGCCGTTATTAGTTGTTCAGTCGGTACAATTCGAATTCTGTATATCCATTATTTTCAGATACAATTTACGAATCCAACAGAACTGGAGCAACCGGACTCGACCCAAGCAGTAACTCAGAAGTACAACCCTGTAAAAATTCCAAATCCCCAACTCTGGATATACTTGAGACCAACCAAAGTATCATAGAATGTGCAGGAGGCGATATTGGTCTTACTACAGAAATCAACAAAATGTTGACTCCTGAAAACAACCACAATGAAGACTATACAGTTATTGTCAGGTGAGGTGTATGAACAAATTGATTATGTTATATTCTTTTATACAATAGGGATCGACCGATTTGAATTATTTGATAAATACCAACATAAAGTATGTCCCACCAAGCGCGCCACATTTGAATTTGCCGTAATTTTGTTAATGCGAGTGGTATGATTTTTTCTTTGGACAGTTGTCTCGTACAAACCACGTGATTTAAGAATATGGAACATTATTCAAACGAACAACATTTTGTACAAACACATCACAAGAGAGAGGGAGAGAGAGAAAATCTTTATTAGGGATATACCCCAGAAGGCCATTGGCCGAAGTCTCAGCCGGCAAATCAAGAATTCAGACTTGAGACTATTTTGGTCCTTCGAGCGGGATATTCTAGTTCTTGGAGTTGACAGTATTCACAAGAATAAAGAAACAACGAAAATGCAGAGGACAATTAATAAATATGATCTATGTCCTAGTACTAAGATAAGAACTGCTGGTATCCATAGTAGACTAGACAATAACTGTGAATGGCTCGCTAATTTTTTATTACTAGAAAATATGACAAAACAACAAGTTTGGATATTTTGTTACATAGATAACATATCTAACAACGACGTGGACGTCTGGTTTTGACATCGACATGTCCGTGAGTTTGAATTCATTTAAAAAAATTACGAACGTCCTTTATATTAGACACAGATATGTATCATTATTATCAACGAGAAAAGGTCGTCCTCTCCACAAGTTGAATGGCAAAGGAGCAGTCAATTCGGCTTCATTACCAGTCATTGTACAATAAAGTTGATCTACAACAAAAAATTGTTCTTACTTAACTTCTAGCAAATGGTTAAACTTCGGAGTGGAATGTGATGAGTTATACTATACGAAAACCGATAATGTGAAGTAGAATATTGAGAAATAAGTGAAATATAAATTTTTATAACTATGGTTAAGAGTTGTGTTGGTGAATCTCTTTACATCACACTTGTTCGCTCACTCACTCATTTCTCTGGAACACCGTAGAAAATTTGGCGATCTGGCTCTATTTTATAGATATATATCCAACGAACAGCAAGGCTCTGGAACACATTGCCAAGGGACGTGTTCCCCGAGGCATATAATCTCCAGAAATTTAGAAGAACACCAATTCCTGCTTTATTTCCTTTGGTTCTCACGATGTTCTCTGAACATTACAGGATATCCCTTGTCGTGGGAACCAGAACATGAAAAAAAAATTGCTAAATCAACCTAACTCTCAACCATAGTTATAATAATTTGTATTTCACTTGTTTCTTGATATTTCACATCACATTATCGGTTTTTGGTATTGTATAACTTATGACTTTCCACTCCGGAGTTTTAAGCATTTGCTAGATGTTCAGTAAGAACAATTTTTCGTTGTAGATTAACCTTACTGCACAATGACTGATAATGACCATTTGAATGGTCGAAACATGTCTTATTCTTCAAAAGTAATGAAGCAGAATTGACTGCTCCTTCGCCATTTATCTTGTAGAGACGACTTTGAGTTTTTCTCATTGATCATCCCTCTCCACTTCGAGTATGGACTTCTTCAGAAGATTATAATTATTATAATATCGTTCAGGGAGCACAAGAGCGACCACCACGGCCACTCCCACAAGCACGGCCACGTCCATTCGGCCCCTCAAAACTTCTCCTCGGTCGCGTGGATGGTCATCATGGGCGACGGGCTGCACAACTTCACCGACGGCATGGCCATCGGGGCGGCTTTCGCGGGCAGCCTGGCGGGCGGCTTCTCCACCACCATCGCCGTTTTTTGTCACGAGCTGCCGCACGAGCTGGGCGACTTCGCGATGCTGCTCAAAGCGGGCATGACGATCAAGCAGGCGCTGTATTATAACGTGCTGTCGAGCGTGCTGTGCGTGTTCGGGAACGTTTTCGGACTCGTTCTGGGTAAGGAGGTTTTTTGCTCATGAGAAAAAATAAAACAACCTCTAAAACATAATGATACACCCATAATAACGTATTAGTTATTGTACGGTGAGTACATAACAGGAATTATGAAAGTATGGCTCTGCCGTGTTGTCAAATCAGTAAAAAAACTTTAGTAACAAATATCCTAACTTGATATTTCACGGGTACGTAGAGGTTTGGTTCGGTCCCGATCTTGTTCGGTGGGTTGCTTTTGTTGATGAAAATCCTGTTTGAGAAATCCTCATGAGAAAAAATAGAACAACCTCTGAAACATAATGATACACCCATAACAACATATTTGATAACGTATTATTTATTGTACAGTGAGTACATAACAGGAATTGAAAAGATGAACGTGGCGGTACCGCAAAGTTTTATAAAGAAATGTCATTTGTCGTTTTTGTTGTTATTGATGGGATTCCGGCTGTTGTGTGATCAGTTTCTGTTGTTTCAATAACTCATTCGATATTATAAATCTGAAGCAGGCTATTTCTAGAATAAGTATCGCTCTGCAGTGTGGTCAAATCAGTAAAAAACGTTAGTAACTTATATCCTAACTTGATATTTCAGTTGCCTAGAGATTTGGTCCAGTGCCGATCTTGTTTGATGGCTTGCTTTTGTTGATGAAAATTGTGTTTGAAATATCTATATCATCAAAATTCCCTAGAAAATTCTACAAAAAGGTTGAATTATGTTGTAACAACGTGACAGTTAATTTATCGGGGCGGCGTTCGCGGGCAGCCTAACGGGCGGCTTCTTCACCACCATCGCCGTTTTTCGTCACGAGCTGGGCGACTTCGCGATGCTGCTCAAAGCGGGCATGACGATCAGGCAGGCGCTGTATTATAACGTGCTGTCGAGCGTGCTGTGCGTGTTCGGGAACGTTTTCGGACTGATTCTGGGCAAGGTTTCTTTTTCATGAGAAAAAATAGAACAACCTTTGAAACATAATGATACATCCATAACAACATAATTATTAACTTGATATTAGAAAAGATAAACGTGGCGGTACCGTAAAGTTTAGTAACACTTAGAATTTTGAAAACAGTATTGAAAACAGTATTGAAAACAGATATCCTTACCTGATATTTAACAGGTATGTAGAGATTTGGTCCAGTGGCGGTCTTGTTTGATGGCTTGCTTTTGTTGATGAAAAGAGTGTTTAAATTAAAATATTGAAAATATCAAATCACCCCATGAAATGTTACAAAATGTTGAATTATTTTGTTACAAAACGTGAGTCAATTTATTAATAGCACAGTTAGTGGAATTACTAACACTGCTGACAGTTGAATTCGGAATATAGTCATACTCATTGGTAGTCATTTTAAAAAGTACATGAGGAGAGGGATAATTTTTGTCGGTTACTCGACCGAAAAAATACATATAATAATGAAGATGCCGAAAACCCCCATTTCCAGTGATAACGGAAAATGAAAAAACTCCACCACCCCGCGCGAGAGTCGAACTCACAACCTCTGGGTTACATGCCCAATGCTCTGCCAATTGAGCTAACGGGACATCCGTCGATCAACCGGCAGGAAGGTCGAGTTCTCATCACACACCAGGCGGCAGAATCTCTCCAAATCCCAAAATCACTCGAAATCATGCACTAGATGAAACATCGCTGGCAGGATGGTACTATACAGTCTCCATTTTCCCCCGTTCGTCCTCTGGCATTATATTTCCTTGTATACGGAAATGTCCGCAAGCAATCTATACATAGAAGTGAGTGATAATTTTTGTCGGTTACTCGACAGAAAACATACATATGATAATGAACATGATGAAAATCCCTAATTGTGTGATGAGAACTCGACCTTCCTGCCGATTGATCGACGGATGTCCCGTTAGCTCAATTGGCAGAGCGTTGGGCATGTAACCCAGAGGTTGTGAGTTCGACTCTCACCGTTACCACCGATACAACAAGGCCTGCATGCTCCGTGGGTGACGTCACTTAGTGAGGCCTAACCAGCGGCTCGAAACGACAAGCGCTTATAGCGCTATAAGGCGACCGCGTATTTCTATTTTAGTTTTAGATCATCATTGAGCCGATTTTGCTGTTTTTTGAAGGGCTTCCGGTTAAAAAAGGATGCCAGTCGTCAACTGAGCCCTTCTTCGCACCCCATTCGATTTTATTATGGAAAAACGAAGTTTTAAAGCAAAAACCAGGATAAAACGCAAATATCCACCTACAGCAACCCATTCGAATTAAATATATTGGCAAAAATTGTGGTGAAGGTAAACTTCACACCTACTTATACAGGGCCCGCAGAACATAAACTTATCGTGAGATAGATCGAAAGAAAATTGTGGAAAATGTATTTTATTTTGATTGACATGCCGTTTGTTACAATTACCTATATTTATCTTGGAGAATTCCTATTACCTGAAGAAATAACCAGTGAGTGTTTTCAATTTTCTGTTGTTGGATTTTTCACCCAAGTGGATCGTTACACTTGAAACCGTAATTTTTAAGGGTAAAACTGCATTTATCATGCGATGGTTTTTTTTTGAAAATTTTTTTCGGTACTCACGTATTTTCGTCTGATAAACCGAATTGTATAATGAAAATGTGAAAAAAACCACTATTTATTGAGATATTTCAAGAAAAACTTCGAAATTTCGCCTTCTTACTCCCCTTGTGTTGGGGGATTTGAAGCTACTTGTTCTTATTTTGTCATTGACACTTTATATACTCATGATGTACTTCGATGGCACATTTTTATATAGAAAATTCAACAGGAAATATAATTTTTATGGCGAGTTTTTCATATTTAGTGAACAAGCATTCCAGATGACGACCATTTAATCAATAGTCAATCAAAATACGAGATATCAAATGTCAATAGATTGCTTTTGAGTGACATTACACACGCCATTATTTTGAATGATATTCTTCCTTCTTTTCACTAAATATGGATTAATCGCAAGAAAATCATATTTATAGTTGAATTATATATAAATTGTCCAATATGATGAAAAAAGAAGGGAAATTTGTTCTAAATGCCATCCAGAAGATAGGTGAAAAAGAAGGTGAAATTTGGAACTTTTTAGTCAAATATCTTCATGATAAATATCATGATAAATGCAGTTTTACCTTTTTAAGTAGAGTGTTTGTAGTTCATGTTAATATGATAGTTGCAATTTGATCATTGGAATGAATCCTGCATTCATTGCCACGACGCAAATGACCGTTTTCAGAAAGAAATTTGAGAATGAGAATTAAAAATGCCCGTTTATTATGAACATTCAAGAAAATTTCCTCGAATTCAGAGATGATTTTGACTATAATATACGAATACAAAACTAACTGCACAATCAAAGCTTTTCTATTTTTATATAAATTAAGCTCTGTTTACTACTGAACTTAGATGGAGTAAAATCCTCGCGGTGAATTGCATATACCCACATTTTCGATAGCTCCTCGTCCAACGGGAAACTAAAAGCATGAACTTTTGAACCACCCACATAATTCCCCCGACTAAAGGGAACACAACACTTGAAAGGCATTGTTATTTCGCCGATCACAACACAAAATATTTCACAAAACAGTAATTTTTCCGCCAATTATTTTGATGAATAAACAACAAAAGAATTCGGGACCGTTTCAAAAACATACGTGAATCACCGATGAATTAACACGAACTGACGCGTTAGTCGACAAGCGATAAAATAAAACACTGGCCTCTCTTGGTGACGTCACGAGCTGTTTACGTCAGAGTCTGCTGGCCTTGTTGTATCGGTGGTAACGCTCTCACGCGGGGCGGTGGACTTTTTTCATTTTCCATTGTCACTCGAAATTAGGGCTTTTCATCATCTTCATTATTATTTTTGGAAGTGTCATGTCGCGTACTTTATTATCTTCTATAGTAACTCAATATGAATCATCATTCGCCAAGTATTGAAAATCGTCTCTAGGCAAAATAGACACAGCTCAAACGAATTATGTTCACAGGTAATACTGAATACGCAAGTTCGTGGGTTTTCGCTGCGGCAGCTGGTATGTTTATCTACATCGCACTCGTTGACATGATCCCCGAACTGAGTTCAGCCCACGAAGACGAAGGTGATATAACTGTGTGTATATTGCACTTGGGAGGGCTACTGTTAGGCTTCGCCATCATGGCGTTGATTGCATTTTACGAACATGATTTGCTGAATATTTTCAGCTATTGATTTCCACTTTGTTTTTGTTGAATTTGTACAAGGAAACTACTTTCTTATTTCGTTTTAGTACCTTGGATATAGTTATTACATATTAAGTTTTGCGCTTGTCTGTAAAATTATAGATGTTATTTTCAAACTTGACTGACATTTGGAAATAAATAACTTTGCAGGGTTTTTATTGAGTGAACATTAACATTTAGAAGTCTCTGCCGCATTTCAAGATCACAAGGAATATTGTAGCGTTTTTTTGTATGTCTGCTTAAGAATGATATTTTTTAATCATTTCATTCTTGTTGTAATCCATTTTCTGTTGCATGCATTAATATAAACTTGACTGATTGTGAGATGTTCCTATTGATTCTCACTGACTTTATTTCTCAAAGGCTGGAATTTCACCAAAAAAACACAAAATATCTTGGGAGATTTATATCAGTGAACACAAAAATATGAACGTGACATTTCTTCCCCTTGAATAACATCCAGACATGATTGAATGGTAATCTATTTCTGTTCACTGAATTTATTGTGTTCTTGGGTAGTCATGAGATACATATAAATCTCCATACAATCATTCATGACTGACTAACTATGGATATTGGAAAGACAGAAGAGAAGTCTGGGACACAATTTCGGCTGAAAACGCGATGAATTGTTGAATTATAATTATCATAATTTATACATAGTGACTCACTTTTCATGGAGACACAACCTTGATATCTTTATGAAGTTACCTAATATTCTTGAGAGTCTATTTCAGATAATATATTCCTATCTGGGAATTGTTTAAAAAAAATCTATATCCCCTCTTCCAAGAGAAGTGAATCACAATATTATTCAATTTCTTGAATTCTGATCTAGAGAAACGATTAGGTCAACCTGGAATAATAAATACTTCAAGTGTCCCAAACATACAAAGCTTTCCTACTTCCTACAAATAACATATTTTTGTAGTTGAGTAGCCAATTTTCACATTGTTTCATCAGTATTTTTTTTTTAGATTTTTTATCTTTTGAGATATTTTTTTTTGTAATTACTGGGAATAAACTTGTTTAGACAATAAAATGCTAAAATAAATTTTCGCGATTTATTTTCAACCGCAAAAAAATCACAAAAGTGTTAGGAGAAATTTTTCAATTTGTACAAATTTCAAAATAAATGATGGAAATCGACATTTTATACATTACCTAGTGCTTATAAAAATATTTCTCAAGCTTTTTTCGTTTCTGGGCGAAATATCTGGCATAATTTTAAAAATCATCCCCTCTCTTTTTCTTTCTGTTGAGCTTTACTCTTCCTCCTGAATACTTCCTTCTTCTTCTGTTTCAGTTTCTTTCCTTTATCTGCTTCAATAGCTTCAATTTCTTGTCTGTGTTTCTCCAACCTCTTCTTGGTTTCTTCTTTGAGTTTGGATTGTTTCTGATCATAAGATGACCTCAACATCTTCATCATAGTAGATATCTGAAAAAATTAATGATGTGACGTAATATCGGTAATATTCACGTGCTTTTGGAATGTTCACCTTCTGTTCATGGGGTTCCCGAATCACAGACACTCTTTGGACGCCTTTTTTCATTTCTGACAGCTTAACTCCATGTTTGGGTTTGTCTTTGTAAGGAAGTGCTTTCTGCAGTTTATTAGGTATGATCAACGGTTTGAATGGTTTTTGTTCTCGTTCTATGTCCTGAAATTATTCAAAACTCAGTCGCCGAAATTTATGAAATGTTGTGAATCGACTTACTGTATACATACTGTCTTGATTTGCAGCATTTCTGATTCCCAATTCTCTCTTAATCTCCCCAGTAGAGCGTAGACCTTTCCAAAAGCCCTTTTTATCTGGAGGTAACAGAAGAGTATTCACTGGACTATAGAACTGAGGTGCATCTACTTTATACCATGTTCTACAGAAAACAATATCTAAAAAATATATATGTACAAAATGAAACAATATTGGTAATTGTTCAAATATTACCACTCAAAAGGATTTTATCTTCAAAGGTGGCCCTAAAACAACCTTCAGGTTTGTTCACTGCTTTTTTTATCTGCCCTCGTATTCCAGAGACTGTTTTAATACGAGCACCCTCAAATCTTGCCACCTCTAGAGAACTGTTGAACATACCTGTAATTCATGTATCACTTCAAAATATAGTAGTGGACAATAAATAGGAATTTAAACAATACATTCCTCAACCATCTATTTGCGAGATTCACGAAGTGGGCGACATCTAGGTTACATAATACGAACTTCAAACTGGGGGAAAACAAACTGTTGTCTATGGATAAAGTGCATAGACTACATTGCATTCAGCTTTCTGTAGCTGTAGTCAAACTTGTCAATGACATAAAGTGTTGGCACTGTTGGTAGTGATGATGGTTGAGTTGGTTAATTTTTTTACATTATTACATTTTTTATTAGTTTAGTGAACAGTGAACGGGTGAAGAATTGGAGATAGTTCAAACAATTCAAACTAATCAGCAAATCAATTGACATATAAAAAACAACAGCTACAACATGTTTACAATACCCAGATTGTCCTGCTTTGCATGAACAAATACAAATCCATTGTTCTACAGGAATTCCTCTGGACCCCAACTTCAATTTTACTTCATGTGGGGAAGATTTCATCGCCGAAGTTTGTGGACAAAGTCGGCTTTTTTCGTTTCTCTCTTAAAAAACTTATCACTCTTATCAGTACACAGTACACAAGCTAATGGCACTAATGGGATTGAGTTTGTTTTCCCCCAGTTTTGACGTGGCTTTGACATGGAACGATGAAAACCGAGCGCCACCTGGTAACAATGGTTCCCGCGAATAAGAAAACACGTCGTTTCCGAGATACACGGTCTTAAACTTGGAGATATCAAAAATCATTTCTGATGTATGTATGGCTCAACAGCAATATTTTGCTTTGAATCAATGCCGTTTTCCTTTATTTAACCGTTTAGGGAGTCTGTGTTCATCAAGTTTCAATAGAAATGTATCAATTCTTTTCAAGATCTTTCAACTTTTCACTATAATACTTGGATATCCCTAAGTTTTGAAATTGAATTAATATTTAGCTTCAACTGTTACACCATGTAACTCGAAATACGGTGTGTTCCCAATCACCAGTTCATGGTATCTTTTTATATTTGATTCGACTTGTATTTGATTGTACCTTTAATAAACGCGGTCTTTTTGTATATCTTCAGTGGATGACCAATTAGTTTCAGTTTTTTCATAATTTTGGTTGATTTGTCCAACTCTTGTACAGATCCTGTAGCTGCTATTCGGAAACCAATATGCTTCATTGCCTAAATGCACAATAAAGTTATTCCAAAGTGTTCATAGGCGGTAAATAACAGAATGATTTTTTCGGAAAATACGTTTCTGGCATAGTCCACAAAGTATGTGTAAGATATTAGCATGAAGTTGATCATAATTTGACATTCAAAATCTTTTGCTGAAGATTCAGTAATTTTTAGTCATAGATGTGAATAAAACTGGAAAATTAAACATGTTCATGGTTCAGGAAACATCAACATGAATCAGACACTTAACCTTCATGTTCTCACTTCAACAACAAACATTTTGATATGTGGAGCAATTGAAACAGGTTGAATCCTTTTCTTATTAGCAAAGCAATTATTGTTGGAATTCATAGACATTAAATGAATATAAAACAAGAATAAGAATGTTCCTAATTTTGTTCTACAAAAGAAATATAAAGAAACTTCCTTTGTTGGTTGCAGAAACAATAGTCTTCTTGTCCAAAGAATTGGTATTTTCATGAATTCATTTTCATTTCCTTACATAAATCACTACTGTGATTTCTAACAAGTATGTTAATGATTTTTTTTACCTCTTGATCAGACTGTATGACTTGCAACGCCAAAAATCCAGTTCCTTGTGGAGTGATGGGCCCCCAAAAATGAGCATTACATGCCAAATGCTCAGGTGTATATTTGAGGTACCTATACTTCATATCATCCTCTAATTTAGAATAATAGGGGATAGTCTGGAATCGTCTCCAACCCAATGAGATGATCACTGGATCGTTGGTTTTCAATATTTTTTTGTACCACCGATGTTTCTTGATCTTTACATTGACATAACCTATGTTTTCTTCCCCCATGTTCAAAGCGCCGATAATCAGGGGATAAGTTGGATCAAAATGTTGGATGAACTCGGCAGGTACGTTTTTGAATTCGATTCGGACATACATTCCCGGTCTGAAGCCTTCAATTTGTACCCTCATGTCTTCAGGCATATCTTCAAATACAGTCTTGTTCAACTGTGACTGTTTTTCGTTTTGCATTTTTAGTTCTTCATAGTGATTGCTTTTGTCAGTGTTGTCATATTCAGCATCAAACCTTTCTTTTAGTTTCTTTTTCTTTTCAATCAAGGCGGTATCTGATGGTTTATCAGTTTCTTCCCTTTTACGCTTTTCTCCCGTCTCATCTTTTGCTTTATGGGTCTCTCCTGTTTCAAGGTCTTCAAAATCCCCAAAAACTTCTGAATCCTTATCACTCAAATCTGCATCATCAAGTTTCAAAAGTTCAGAAGCATCTTCACTTTCTTTCCATTTTCCAGTTACAAAACAGTTGGAAATTAGGATTATTTTCTGAAATAACCAAAGGAAAATGTCCATATTCCACAGTAGAAGTGTATTTAGAAAAATGTGCCTACTAGTATGAAAGTTACTATGCCCTTTGGGAAAATCGTCTTTGAAAATATTCAAGAAGATTCTAAAAAATGAAATGTCTACAAATTACCAGTTACTACATTTTTTCAAGTTTCCAGAATAAATATCCCCTTGATTTCACCCAACATTTTACAAGCTTATATTTAGTTTCACCTGTGTGTCAATCTGTCTGTAATCAAATCTTGCAAGTTAAAATATGACACATTTCTAAATCTTCCGATTGATTTGAAATTTGGCAGGTGAAAATAATTCTGGTGTCAATGCTTCTTGAAATTCTTGTTAGGGAAAAAACAAAATGGCGGCTCAAAAATGGCGGATGAGTTTTGTAATCATGATCCGATTCTATTGAAAATTGGTATCTGGGGTTTTTTGGAGTTGGCAATTATGATTCTTCTGTCAAAATTTAAAAATTCATGATGACGGCTCCAATATGGCAGACGAGTTTTGCAATTATGATCTGCTTCAATTAAAAATTTATATCTGGAGTTTTCACTGTCAGAGATTAGATTGTGACTTTCTCGTCAAAATTCGAAAATTCAAGATGGCGGCTTCAAAATGGCGGATGAAGTTTGTTATTATGGTCTGATTAAATTAAAAATTGGTATGTGGGGACTCTTGTTATCAGATGTTAAACAATATTTCCTTTTTAGTGCATATTTATGAAAGCTTGTCTTTCAAAATGTTCTTTATAAAAGCTTGTTTTCAATAATGAATATGCTGAAAGTATTGATTAGCTGAAGGTAAATTTTTCATAGCATTTCTCCCTTTGATAATTTTTTAAATAGACATTTTCGAGTTTTCACTCCAGTTTTTGTACCTGCCAAGTGTTGATGATTGGCGCCCTCTGACGGAATCTGAATGTAATGTAAAACATTATTGAACAAATATATTTTTGATGAACATTATTTTCATTATATGAATCAAAAATAGTTAGGTAGCAATCAATTCCCAGCAACTGCAGAAATTTTTCTGATGGCCCAATTGAGTGTTTGGGATCACATATTAAAAGGCCCCCGTCATTCCTTGCTCCCACAATTTTTAGAACCATTTAGCTCATATTTTAATGGAATATGTAAAAATATCAAAAACCTGATATTTGTTTCTCTCATATATGGCTCTCTGAAATTTTTTCTTATTGGTGGTGTATATGTTTCATTTGAAAGAACAAACTCAGAAGGTCATATATAATATGCAAGACAATATGTTTTATGATGGCTGAAAGACTAGTCAATAGCTTCAAGGAGCATACCCAATAAGTTTTTTTTGTTTTCATAGATGTATTCAGATTGAGAAAAATTTTCTGCATTTTTATGTAGGTATATTACCTGTGGATCTGTCCAGTCGGTCATGACAGAATCCCATGGTAATGACAGTGAAGATTCTGTTAAATTAATTATATCTTTATTCTCCCTGATTTCATGTTGATTCCTTGAAACTTTTTTAAAGAGTTCCCCTATACCATCATCAGAACCTTCTTCCATTCCAACAGTTTCCATAGCCTTTTTATTGTCAAATGAACCTAGAATTGAATATGTGAAAAATGACTGATAAATGATTTTGAAAATTCAGCATACCATACACAAGTTTCATGAGATTTTGATTTGAAGAGTGCCTCTCAAAAAATGAATCTCTAGCTTTTTTCATCAAATCATCTTTCCACTTTACATCATCCTCTTCACTCTCTTCTTCATCAGTTTCTTCATTAGCACTATTTGCCACCTCTTTTTCAGAATCAGATTCCTCATTCTCCATATCTTGTTGATCAACTTCTGAATCATTATCTTTTTCAAGATCCTCAGCATCACTCAGTAATTCATCATGATCACTATCAACATTCTCTTTATCATTGAACACCACCCTCCTTCTAATTCTATCACCAGCATTCACCTTTTCAAATGACTTTTTCAACAGCTGTTTGAATTTTTCATCAACCAAACTATGAGTTTGAGAGTTCTTTTCAGGTGCTATCAATGAATCACTTTCATCAATATCTTCAGCTGTCAATTTGTCACCTCCTGTGAATATTTGTAATTCTGAATGCTTCATTTTCTCATCCAGGGTTTCTTTCACATCCAAGAGATTGGCAACAATAGTGTTGGATTCATCTTCCTCCCGGTTTTTATAGCTATGAGATCCACCAAGTTCTACATATACTGCATCCTTGTCATACACTATACCTCCAACTCCTGAAAAGGGTGCATATATGAATTTTTCTTTCTCTATTAGTGCTCTTTTTTTCAGTTGTTCAGGTAGAGGACAAGGATCAGGAAGAAAAGACACATCATGAATTTTCTGATCTCCAAACCCTAGAACAAAAAACATGCAATATTAATTGACTGCATGAAAAACCACATTTGTAGCTGTTTTACCAGGAATGTGAACCCAATTTTCTTTCTTCAATGGCACTCCTCTAACATAACCATAAAGAGCAACATTTCTATCACATTTTGGGTTTTGCCTGATCAGTTCCTGATTAGTCAAATCTTCATACCTATCCCCAACTAGATAACTGTGTGTTGTTCTCCACTGAAGAGGCCTGAATTTCATGACTGAAATAAATCTGCCTAAATTCTTTGATTCATTTTTCAAGTATTCACCATGTAAAATCCCTGAAAGATAAAATAACTTTGCTCCTGGATATACCTCAGTCCAGAATCTGTGCTTCAATGTCTTCTTTGTAGTTTTTAGGGTTTTGCTGTTTTTTATCATGTCCAAATGAGTTAATACTCCCATAATCTTGGGCATACCATGAACTTGGCAAATATTCAAGAACTCAAAAACTTCCATTTCAAATCCAAAGCTAGCATCACAAAGTAAAAGAGCTAGGTCTGCTACTTTTGCTAAATCAATCATTGAATTTATATCATTATTGCATTCAACAAATGTTATTCTTCTTTTCTTTCCTGTGACAATGGTAACAGGCCCTTTAATATCTGTTAAAGGCAGCTTAGTGAATAACTTTATCAGACTATTTATTAGTGTAGTTTTTCCTACTTTTGGAGGCCCTACTACTGCTACAAGTAGAGGAGGAGGTTCTATTGGTGTCCTGTCAACTAAAGGTATGTGTTCTTTTTTTGTATTTATGTCTTGTTTTCTTCTAAATCTGCGTTCAGCTCTGATTGCAGAATTGAATGCAAATGCTTTGGGATTCTTTTGTTTAGCGTCATTTTCAACTATAGCACCATCGGCATTTTTCTTTGCTTTTTTCTTATCTGTCTTTCGTCCTGGAATTCATAAACCTGAATGAATATCTTTAATAATAGAGGTCTATTTAGTAATTTTACCAGAATGTCTGTCGCGATGAGCTTTTTGCTTGCTTGGTTCTGCATTTTCCATCAGTCAAAAAACTATTCACTTTCGAAGGGAAAAAAACGAAAACGCCAAAAACGGAGGATCCAAAATGCAAAACCAAAACTCTTAGCCAAAACTACTCTTGAGATTTGAGGTTATATGTTGATTCACTCTTTCGCACGTCCGCACGTGGTTTTTATTTTTTCTGTCACTGGCGATGTGGGATTGTGGGCTGTGGTGTCTGTGGCCGGCGCCGGCTACGTCATGCACAATTAATGAATTATAGTAACACCTGGAATGATTACTTGAAATCTAAAAATCGTCCCACCTGCACCCTAGAGTTCCTAAATGTACTTGACAATGCTGATTTTGGAACAGCAGTGTCTGCAGTCTACTGCACCCAAGCCCGAGCATCTAACAAGAAAAAGGCTACAAAGGCTATATTCCGAATTCAACTGGTCAGTACTGTAAGTTGATCCACTGACTCTGCTGAAAATCTGTGTTCCGAAATATAAAATCAAAAATTCACTACTGTAATTCGGGACACGTTTTCGTGGTTTTCATCAGGAGTAGTTCCTCGTTTATCTGAACTAGATGTTTAGCCTCCTACTTGTTATAAATTTTGGAAATTCAATATTTAACATGGAAGAGAAATCGATTCTTGTATCCTCTATAGTTTCTACGATTGTTGACGATGGCGATTCAAGCTCGAGTGATGAAGAATACTTGGACATTTTGTTGCCATAAATTTCTCATGATGCACCAGATTGAGAATTGAGATTCATGAAAATCGCAATATGCCTTTATAATGATGAATTTTAGGAGACATTCCAGGTTTATTTAGTTTATTTAGCCAATGCTGCTCCTTTCCTTACCTGCTCTACTACTTCATACTCCCCTGGTATTTTCTGATATTGAGAATCATTTATCATTTCATTAATAACGGAAATGACTGTTACATTTCTTCCCCCTCTGAAATATGACAGTTCACTGAAGCCACACTACCTTTTGATACTCAGCAATTCCAGCAGAATGTTGAGTCGAAATATTTGGAATGAATAGTATTTCTGCTGACAAGTATCTGTCACTTCCAGTGAATTTCTTCATATCGGAATGAAAAATCAGCAGATTCAGTACTGTCAGTTGAATTCGGAATATAGCCATAGACAAATACCTTGGCAGGAAAGCAACCAGCAAATTTAGAGGTAGATTCCTGATTTGACATTGATCATTGTTGACAAGTAAGTTGACAAGTATCATGTGGCTGTCAGTTTTCGACAATTTTCGTAGATTTTTAATTTTTGGCAGCTCTTTGAGGTGTTGAGTTTGTGAGACTTGAATGGAGGCGGTATAGAAGAAGATCAAAATTTGGTTGATAAAGTCCAGAGAAGCCCTGCCTTTTTCTTAGTATTAAATATTTATAGATACCAAAAATATTGTATGACAAAATAGTTTGAAATGTCTAATCTAATTCGTCTTATATCGAGAAAATGTACCTCTACTAATACCAGGCATTTGTGCAATTCTTTGAAGAAAACCATCACAGAGGTGAGACACTAATTTTGATTACAATCATATAATTATGTTTGATAATGGATGTTGAACAGCTCATTATGTCATAGCAGTGTTCATATCCAGAAAATTATTTATACCTTCACTAAAATGTTATGTAATATATTCTTCACAGGCATCTCCTACTTTCAGTACTGAACATATTGTACAGGATGAAAGTAATCTCAGCATATTCAGAATTGAGAACCTGGCCATTGGGTAATTGTCTGAATATTTTGATTATTATACCTACATGACACAGTCTTTTCCAGGCACAAAAAATCTATTAGATATTTTCATACTTCTCTTGCAAGATGGGAGAGTCAAATTGTCAAGTCACCACCATTTCCTGAATCTGTTACTGAAGGAGATGTAAGGTATGAAAATAATTTCCCTAGATTTTCATTGCTTTAAAGTGAAGTGAAGAATAATATTTGAGTGATTAGTTACCTCTTGAATGGTGAATTGTTTTTGGTAAGTCTTAGTGGAAAAATAATTCCAATTTTGTAGGTAGACAGACCAAATCAGGTATATAAAATTATATATTACATGAGTGAAAGAAGATGATCAGTGAGAAAGTATACTGGTGGAATTCCATCATTTTTAATAAACTCATTTGTATTTTAAACCAATAATTTTAAGAATGTAAATTGAAACATTATATTTTAGTGTTCTATCATTCCTGGAGATTATTTGTTTTGAAAGTCAGGTTTTATGTGAAATCATTGATTATGTATGTGTTTGATAGTGGGCAATGAATCAACATTAAGCTATGATAGTATAAAAACAATACAATAACTACTGATAACTGTATCCTGTTTTTGCTGATAATGACCTGCAATATAAAGAACATAACCATTCACATAGAAAATAAGCATACCTATGCCATCTATCGGAGTATTTGGAAGCAGTCAAAGTGGTCTGTTTACTTTGTTTCCATTAGTTCACATTTGTTTTTTGTTTCTTCTTATTGGTCACATCAGAGAGTATATAATCTCTGGTCACATCCATCAGAACAAACCACTCAGAAGTGTTCAAATGTTGCTGTCAGGTGGGGCAACATGTTATTTTATATTGTGAATAACACTATTTTTGTACAGTTTTTCATGCTAATACTCATTTATATATTTTCCCTAAAAGGGTCATGCCATCAAAATTGAAGCATTGATACTGATTAAGTAGAGCAAATCCAGAAAAGCTGCATTGGCAAATAATGTGAAGTTACAGCTCAATATAATACATGTTTGTGTATAAACATTCATGAATTGTTGATTTAAGCTACAGATTTGTAATAATCAGTTGAATAGGGCGTGTTTTTCATTCCATCAAAGAAAGTGCGCACTGATAGATGCGGTTTTTTGTCGTGACGTCACCAATTGTTCTGTTGGAATTTATGCTGGAAGGATTGAACAATGGTTTATACAACACATTGATGGAAACACGGATTTTGTTGTGTGTCAGTCATCATGTATCTTGAGAATCAGAAGAGGCTAATTCGATTTTATTGATTAACACTGACTCTTTCTTCTAAAATCTCTCAAGAATCTCAAAAATCAAAACGAAAAACAACACTAAAATGTGTCAACTGTCATGTTAATCTCCTCCAAACTGCTGGATTCTCGAAAAGCGATTTAAAAGTGCGCATTTTATTACAACAGTTTTATGGATGTCCATCAACATTCCAGCGGAATTTTGCAACAGTTTGATGGTTTCTTCGATTCATGCGCATGATAAAATGTTGGAATGAAAAACGCACCCATACTGATAGATCCCTGCTATATCCTTTAGTATTCTGAAATAATGAAGGAGAATTCTTCCAATTTGTAGTAATTACTCACATAATTCGCGGGAATCAATGTTACCAGGTGGCGCTCGGTTTTCATCGTTCCATGTCAAAACCACGTCAAAACTGGGGGAAAACAAACTCAATCCCATTAGTGCCATTAGCTTGTGTACTGATAAGAGTGACAACACTTTATGTCATTGACAAGTTTGACAACTACAGCTACAGCAAGATGTAGGCAATGTAGTCTATGCACTTCATCCATAGACAACAGTTTGTTTTCCCCCAGTTTGAAGTTCGTATTATGTAACCTAGATGTCGCCCACTTCGTGAATCTCGCGAATACCTTTCAATTTCATATTTTTTTAAATTTTTCGGTCGATTTTTAGGTGCTAAATTCATCAATAATGCCACCGAGAATGCCACGGTAATTTTCAAAGATTTCATAAGTAGCGGCAGACAGAGCACAGTTGCCATGTGTTGAAATACGATTGGGAACTTCATAAATATTAGTTATTCAAACAATAATAAATTCTCAATTATGTATTGGTAATATTCCTATTTAGCAATACAAAATCAATTGTCTCAATATGTTCCCTTATGATCTGTGGTCTATTGCTTATAATACATTTTTGTAAATAGTAATTATATTAATTCACACTAGAGGACATTTGAAGCGGTGAACGTGACAACACCAAACTTGTAGGCGTGCTCTTGTCCCTTCTCAGCATTCAGCACAATGTTGCCAAGTCTCCAACATTCACATGAAATTTTGTTATGGAGTATTAAAAATATTTGGACATGCTGGTTGCTCAAAAGAGGGTTCCCTATTATGTGTTATTCAAAGGCATGACTCTTACATTATAATTGGTGACTTGACAACCTTGCTTCGTGAGTGGGAATGGAAGATTATCTGACCAATAACGAAACAGCATAAAAGCTGACGTCACCAGTTATTTGACGTATCACCAAATAGTGGCTATGACGGTACGTTTGAAATGAGCCTCGAAATTCAACAATTTTAAACAACGCATACACTCATTATTTACATAAAAAAGTGCGAGAAGTGTTGCCAAAATTAATTTAGGTCCCTAACGACACAGTATATCAATTGAATGCCAATATTTCATTATAAGTCCACTCGCCCATTGTGCTCAATGATTATCCTACCCAGATCAAATGATTTGAATCGGTATCACCCTGAACTTCAGGCTCGACAAAAAAGTCGGAGACTATGTCGCTGCCGATGATGTGGTCATGGAAATCGAAACGGACAAGACAGCTATGCCGGTTCACACCCCCGTAGCCGGGGTGATCGAAGAAATCCTCGTCAAAGACGGGGACACAGTCAAAGCTGGACAGGGCCTGTTCAAAATCAAACCTGGAGATGCTCCTGCTGGAAAAGCTGCGCCAGCGGCCGCCGCCCCGGCACCTGCACCACCCAAGCCTCAACAAGCTGCTCCACCACCTCCACCTGCTGCTGCCGCTTCTACACCAACACCATCGGGTGAGCAAAGAAGCTGAATCAATTTTTCAGACCAGGAAATGGGGAAGTTTCCTTCATTGAGGTTTTCATCTCACTGTGAAGTTTGGACAAAATTAATATACGTATTTTTTCTGTTTTTCGTAAGATCGATTTTCACTTCAGAAAAAAAGGAATAATGGTGAAACTTGGCTCCTCCACCATTCCTTTGACGTACGTTCTGAAAATCCACATTCACCCAGAGTTAGAATACGATTCCCTGTGCTAGTACGACGTTTCTGACATCATAAATATGTGTAGATTTCCAGAAATTGGTTCTTCAATTCTACTTTGTCAAGTGTTATGAATAATTTCCATAAGTCTCCCATTGGCTGAATGAAGTTGATTACTAATAAAGATAAATTATGATATTTTGCGATAATATCTATAATTTTTCACTATCGTTATATTACAATATGTTATTCATAACTTGCCAGTCATTTATTTGCTAATGAATTCGTTCCTTAATCAAACGGATCTATTCTCTAGGAAAGTTGCAGATTATATCTTGCAACAGAGCCTAATACTTTGAGTCCCTCCATTCCACTCAAAATACTGACAGGCACAACAAGAGGAAGGAGCCATGGGTGTGTCGGCTTCATTCTGTTCTGACCGATGGCAGTAAATTAGGAAGGATTGTATCATTGAATGTAGCCGATAGTGATTCATTGATTCAATGATATTTCCATTTAGGATTGAGCTCCATTCGAGATATTTCAATGCATAAATAACAAAACCATAACCTGTAAGAATGAAACCAACTACCTCCTGCATTCCTGCTCCAAGTGCATTGGTGGTTATGTATGTTTTTGTTTACCAGTTTCACTTCTATTTTTTTCATTCGTTTTTCATTGTTTAGGTATTCCTTAGCTATGTGCTAGATACATTTTTCACCATCTATGTTCAGACTAGATTCAGAATGTACGTCACAGTTTGCCGCCCTGAAAATTAAAAATTGCTTGGACTTTATCGGTCGCCATCTTGTACAGCCTGGGCATAAAACTGAAGAATTCCGAACTTATTTTATGAAAATTCATTTGAAGGAAACTTCCCCATTCAATAATCTAGTCATGAGTTGATACACCATTCATTTAAACATAACTATGACCAACCGTCGACTAAGCCATTATAGTCTGACTCCTGAAAATGGGTGATAACTATCTAAGAAGTCCTGAAACTTCGACATTCCATCCTCTGGCTAGATACAAATTGTGTGATTTTACCACAGCATAAGGATGAAACAGCAGCGTCACTCCGTTGAAATACCTAAGTACACGCATGACATCCCGCGCCATACGAATGCAGAGTAGCTACACCATCGTTTGAGATGCACTGGTTTGATGCGGCAACGCTGTGGCCGGCTGCATCAGCATTCGCCTCCGCATTCGCACTCCGCACGGTTGCCAGGTTTCAAATTATTACGGAATAGGGACACTGAATAAAAAAGAGACATTTCATAACAAGAACGTTAACAAGTTTATGATGATAAACAGATTTACAATAAATGTTCAAAATTAGCGCCACCACAATTTATGCAGTCTCACACGACGTAGTAAAGACTCGACTGAAAACTATCTTGTCGTATCTCAAAAATCACGTTGTAGTTGTCAATTGTTTCGTGTAAAGGGCGGGATTAAGACCACTTGGTGCCTGGGGCACAATATATTATTTCGCCCCCTTCACCTGTGTCAACACATCACAAAAATGAAAAATTGGAAAACATTCTTCTAGAATGAGGGCTAATATTTTCCCTCTCACCAGTTGGCGCTACTAAAATTATAAAACAACACCAATAATATAAAACTTCAATTGTGTCGCAGCCTTAAGACGTTTCAAAACTTCCGTTATTTTTGAAAAGTGTCAAATTACATGGCAAAATTAGAGATACATAGTTACCAAGCTGATAAAACCATAGTAAGGTTCAAGATTTAAAATATATGGAATAAAAATAAAAAAAGGTGCAAAACAGAATTAAAATATAAAAGCTGGAATTCCACTGTTTGAGGGGCGTGTCCAGAAACGATTATATGATTATTATGTCGGTATAATCCTAGTTATTATAATCATGAAAATGTGCATTGTTTTTATACAACACCTATCAACGACTTTTTCTTCAAATTTACGATGATGTGACAGAAATATAGTTCCGCATAAAAAAGAATTGCTGTGATCGGTTGGGTTTCTGAATTTTGAATCATAAAAACCATCATGTTCGTATCCTAAAACATGAAACTTATTGCCTAATTCATAAATTTGTGTTCTGTCGTTCGCCACAAGGACCTGTGTGCTCATTTCATAATACTTATATATATCTTAAATTATAAAACAAGAAGAATAACATAAAATTTCAATTGTGTCGCAGCCTTGAGACGTTTCAAAACTTCTGTTAGTTTTGAAAAGTGTCAAATTACATGTCAAAATTAGAGAAACATAAGTTGCGTTTTATTTGTTCCATTCTGGTAGCTGTGGTGGGAAGAGAATGACGTTTACAAATAAAACGCATAAGAGGTTATATTTATATATTGGGGCTCGCAATAATTTCAAAATCATGATACTAGAGTTAAGAATCTAGAAAATCAATCAACGAATATTTGTAGCAGTTACTGTGGTGATTGGAGAAACTTCTCTTATAGAGAGAATTAATTTCATCTGGGAATGAACATATGGAACCTGTGTTACTTGAAAGAATCTTAAACTTGTGAAAAACACGATAAAAATGTCTTCTACTTTCGAAAAGTTTAGTTTTTCGTCAATATAATAAATGATGTCAACAGTAACGTCATTACATGTCATTACTTGTAATGATACAGAATGAAAGGGAGCAACCGGAATCGGAAAAGTTGCAACTAAAACGACACATTAAAGTGAATCCGGTGGCGAAATCGGATAAATAAAACGCAACTATAGTTACCAAGCTAATAGAACCGTGGTAACAAATAATCAATGTGTTCGCAGCCGCCCCATCTCCGCCGCCCCGCCCGGCCGCCCCCGCTCCACGCCCCGCCTCCGCCGCCCCCCTCAGCTCGATCCCCGTCGCCGCCATCAGGCACGCTCAGTCGCTGGAGGCGGCGACGGTGAAGGTGCCGCCCCAAGATCCGACCAAGGAGATAAGCGGCACGCGCACCGAGCAGCGCGTCAAGATGAACCGGATGCGGCTGAGGATAGCGCAGCGGCTGAAGGAGGCGCAGAACGTCAACGCGATGCTGACGACGTTCAACGAGATCGACATGACGTAAGTGGGACCGGAAACGGATAATGTAGTGGTCTTCTCTGGACCATATACGAGTCGAGTTCGGTATTGACATCAGACTGCTCCGATCAATCTGTGTCGTTCGTTTATGACATCTAGATGTAGGGGAAGTAACTCATCCGTTCGGCAATTAAAATCGGAGCGATCCGACGATGCTCCTAGAATCTTGACAGAGCAAAGCGATTAATCTGAATTTGTGAGGTTGAGTGTTAAATTGTTCAAATTTTAAGTAGTATTATTTTATAATTCACTTTTTGTGAATTTCTTGAGAAAATCAATGTTAAACAACAAATCTATATGTGTCTTAACAAGAATTAAAATACTTTAGACAGATCTGTCATGACAGCGCTCTGCACCGTTCGATTATTCCAATAAATCCCTCGCATCTCGGATGGATTTGCCGAACTCGACTACGTATTAGTTGATAATATGATGAAGCTGAATGCTATTTATGAAATATTGAAGCTGAATGCTATTTATGAAATAAACCGTTGCTCCCAAGATATACAGGGTGTTTCATTGGGAAAGGTAAATAATTCAACTGTGGATAGGGGGTCACTGAGGTGATTTCAAAAAACCCATGGTTAATGGGTCTTCGTCTTATAACCCAGATACGGGATGTTTAATCAATTTTGCCCATATCTTTATTGTCTCATAACTTTCCAGCCAACCTGTATATATCTTTGAAAATTAGTACACTTTCTCAATCTATCCTGCTGAATTGATTGTGGCATCATCAACAAAAGATGGAATCCAGATCCGGCTTCACTTAAAATTCACAGATTTTTTTCTGCCCGAAAACAACACCCTTTACATTTGAATTTTTCAATTTTTTTGCCATATCTGAGAAGAGCATCAGAATGTCTATTCAACGATGTACTTTTTATTCATGCACAGACGATTTTTACTACTCATATTATGTGCTCAAAATATTATTTTTGCTCATTTTGGGGGATAAAGTGAGACATGTTTTTTTATTCCCTTCAGAAATCAGATGGAGATTTATTAATTTTATTACTTCCTATTCAGTCAGCGTGAGTATTACCTTTTGAAGGAGTGTTTCATATCGCTATTTATATCCATCCACACTTAGTTGCAGGTCCGTCATCAATACTATACAGGGCTTTTCACGATGAGCGTTAATTAGACGTTTCTGGCAAACCAGGCAACGGATAAATCTGAAAGTTAGAAGATATGTATGAATTAACATGATCTACACGTGTGCAACATATGAAACGATCCGGCGTTGCCGCTTCTACTAGAAAGTAGCAGTAACTTTGATTTTTCATTTTATGTATAAATCAACATAAGTAGTAAGTAATTTAAGATTTACTTGTTAGTAGCAAATTTAAAAAATCAATACTTAACGGTCCACTGTCCGAACCACAACTGCTGGTATTTTCTGTAATACTTTTTCGTGTCGGTTTTGGTAGTGGTAATTGATTCAGCACAAAAACTAGTGTATTCACCTCGATTAGGAAAAATCCAGGCCGTTTCTGCCCGTCAATGACTTTACCTGAATAATATAATAATGAAGTTGAAATCCGAACTCTAATTTCCTTTGAATATCGTAATTCTCTACTGACATCCTGTAAGTTAAATCATTCTAAGATGATCTGGACTAGGTTATTGTCCTGTTCTTTAATGAAATGAGAATTTCAAATATTCCCAATAAAATTATTATAGTTTCGTTACATTCTTGATAATATAATTTCTGACGTCATTGCTCTCATAAGGATGGTTCATCTTGTGAGTGGCATCTAAGGCTCTTATGTTTCCGAACGATAGTATTGGGAGTTCCTCCGCATTGAGCAGAAGCGCTTTCAAACGAGCAATTTGGATGAGATTTTCGGGTTGCTGGGAATTGACACAATATACAGATAGTAGTTATGTCAGTTACTCCCTTAGAATCACATGATTCTACTAAGTTTCCCTTTTTTCCCCATCGACGACAGGAACATAATGGCCTTCCGAAAGAAGAACCAAGAAGCCTTCCAGAAGAAGCACAACCAGAAGCTCAGCTTCATGTCGGCCTTCCTGAAAGCCTCCGCCTACGCGCTGCAGGACCAGCCCGTCGTCAACGCCGTCATCGACGGCCAGGAGATCGTCTACAGGGACTACGTGGACATCTCGGTGGCCGTGGCTACGCCCAAAGGGCTCGTTGTTCCCGTGCTGAGGAACGTCGAGAGGATGAACTATGCCGATATCGAGCATGCCATGGCCCTGATGGCAGACAAAGCCAGGAAAGGTGAGATGGTGTATCCACAATAGGCAGTCGGTAGTTGGTAGTCAGCAGTCGGAAATTGGTCGTTGACTTTCGGCCGCTCGAGAGCATACCGACCACAATTGATCGTCAGTCAACAAGTCGGCAACTCGCACTTTGGAGCAGCTCTCAGGAACTTGCCTATTGTACGATTTGAATGACAATTAACAACGAGTCTGTAAGGACTTATTTTACATCTGTTCAGACAGTGAACTGACTAAATGACAAACATAACCTTATTACCCTTCCTCAACCCAATTGTTCTGACACAAAAAATTAAGAAATCTTCCTCGTCATGTACACTTGACAACACTGTGCGGTGAGTTGTTCGTGACGTCTTGAAATTCCCCGTGATTGGTGAGAATTCAGCTGTGCAGTTGGCAGTCAAAGTTCAATTTCGCGGCTGCCGACTACAGAAGACCGACGGCAAGCGGCCGACGGCTAACTACCGAATGCAATTGAACACTGTTACATAAAAATGCCTATGGCTCATCTTCCACTACCAACTACCGACTGCCTATTGTGGGTATACCTTTAGTCGGTGCTCGTTGTTGCCCTACGCCTAGTTAGTCGGCGAGATGTATAATACTGTGGCAGATGAACTATGCCGATATGGAGCATGCCATGGCCCTGATGGCAGACAAAGCCAGGAAAGGTGAGATAGTCGGTGCTCGTTGTTGCCCTAATGTCGGTTCCACCATTGTCGGTCTAAATGAAAACCTAGTTAGTCGGCGAGATGTATAATACTGTCGCAGATGAGCTATGCCGATATCTAGCATGCCATGGCCCTGCTGGCAGTCAAAGCCAGGAAAGGTCAGATAGTCGGTGCTCGTTGTTGCCCTTATGTCGGTGCCACCATTGTCGATCTAAATAAAAACCTAGTTAGTCGGCGAGATGTATAATACTGTCGCAGATGAACTATGCCGATATCTAGCATGCCATGGCCCTGATGGCAAAGCCAGGAAAGGTGAGATAGTCGGTGCTCGTTGTTGCCCTAATGTCGGTTCCACCATTGACGGTCTAAATAAAAACCTAGTTAGTCGGCCAGATGTATAATATTATCGTGCCCGTGTTAAGGAAAGTCGACCGGATGAACTATGAAGAGATTACTTATAACTAGGTTTTTCATTTAGAACGACAATGGTTTGACAGTGTATTTTTCGCAAGCGCTAGATCTATACTATAGGTGCGAAAAATTGCACAAATTAGTTTTTCGTTTTCTGCCAATTCCTACGTGACAGCTTTTGCGCAACTTTACGCATTTAGAACCATGGTCGGTGGATGAATTTTGACAAAAAAAACTTACCTCTGAAAAAAATAAACAATTCTTGAAGTAAACTGTTGTTGACTAGTTCATTTTGATCTTAAGAATGAACCAGTCATAACCAGTACACCTAAGACACAGAGATTATACATACCCACATGAACCAAAAAACAAAATATATGAAAGGAATATTTCTCTATGAAAATATTGCTACGAAATTATTCTACAGGGTGTTATAATTTTCTAAATTTGTCATTTAGGTCAATTGGCTGTAGAAGATATGGACGGTGGTACATTCACCATCAGTAATGGAGGAGTATTTGGGTCTCTCATGGGAACACCTATTATCAATCCTCCACAGTCATCAATTCTAGGAATGCATGGAATCTTCGATCGACCCATTGCCTTAAATGGACAGGTAAAAATAATATAGACATCTTGTATTTCCGGGATAGACACTGTGGATTCTTTTACGAAAATAGGTTTAGGTAAGATAAAAATGCATGGCCACATACAGATTGACTTAGGAGGAAAGCAATTGGGAAAACATAATTGAAAGAACCTTGAAAAGCAAGCCCATCAAATTCTTCACCTTGAGTTCAATAGTGAATGTTCTTTAGAAACATTGAATCTTCATGTTGATGATGAAAGATCCATAGTGTGTCAAAGAATTGGCCAATTCTAACGGTTTGTTTTTTCAGTTTCCACAAATAAAGTAAAATTTTCATATTTATAGTTATTTTTTATTTCCATGAATATTTGCTTGCCATGATGGAATGCAATACCCTGCTTGTCATATTTATTTATTTGAATAGAGGGATTCATGAGGAGTAATTTTAGATGTGACAAGAGATTAATCATGACTTGCAGCACAAAATTCAAATTACGGCAAAATAATGCATCTACACCAAAAGTCATATTCGCGAAAATCACGAACCAATAGATGGCTCTATTAAACGTCAAATCAACGTCAAATTTCCAACTGAGTATGAACAACAAAAACATTGCCGTATGCACTCATTGCAAATTGGTTATTTCCAAATCATTTTGCAAAATAGTGAATAATAAGTTGACTTCTTGAAATACGTACAAGGTTTCCAGTATGGGAAAAATTACTTTTTGTGCAGAGAAATTGTCATTTTGATGTGGACAATGGTGATATTCATCATTGATATCACACTACAATCCCACAGTTTTCAAACATATGGAATGATCGGAATGGTCCACTCAACACTTGCATGGACTGGAAACTGGAATGGAACCATACAAGCAATCAGCTATTACAACAATATGGTACGTATAGGTATGAAGAAATAATTGAATTCATCAAGAAATATCACTGGCTTTTATGAAGGAGATGAAAATCTAGTGAAGGGGTTGGAAAAGAAGATATGGTTGGAGAGGCTGCTCAGAATGAACAATATCATCGATTTACATAAACAAGGATCTCCAACAATTGAGGACATGAAGTTATTCTCAATATCGAATCATCGCATCCAACATTTATACAATGATTCTAATTGTGCTTCAGAAAATGTATATTATATTATTATAAGGTAGGTACTGGTTTCTTCATTGTAAACAATAAAAGTGTATGCAATAATTCGAGTTTTTTCATCAGGAAGAAATGAGGTTCTGGAATATGCACTTCAACAAATCAATTATTTTCCAATAAAACACATATTTATGAAATTCAAAACAATGGTCGCCATATTTGTTGTTCATACTCGCAAGACTTGTACAGTTAGCCACCAGAGGCCGCACACTTCGTGATTTTCGCGAATAGTTGTTGGAATACTTCCGGGCAAGTGTTCCACATTTTCCCATGTTTTAGTTACGAAATGTTTCTGAGGCCAATTTTTCACAGGTGGTGATTCGACCAATGATGTACATAGCCCTAACTTATGACCATCGACTCATCGACGGTCGCGAGGCTGTCCTCTTCCTCAGGAAAATCAAGCAAGGCGTCGAAGATCCGAGTTCGATATTAGCGGGTCTTTAAGCACTAGAAAGTGATGAATCACATCCGTACTATTGTATCTGATATTACTTTCTCTTATCATTTTTAGACCTGTTGTGCCCGCAAGGATGTTCATTGGATGCATTCGATTCAGATACAATTAAAAGTTTCATCAAATATGCTTGGCTATCTTTTAATTCGCGATAGAAAATAACACGTCGCTCCACCTGACGGCAACAATTTGAACACTTCCTAGCGGTTTGTTTTCATGATGTGACCAATAAGCACAAATAAAAAAACAAATGTGAACCAATGAAAACAAAGTAAACAGGCCGCTTTGACAGCTTTCAAGAACTCCGATAGGCGGCGTACCCTTATTTTCTATCGCGAATAGCGCCGTTTTTAGCTCGAAATCTACTTCAATGATGTTCATGTTCAATTTTGGTTTGTTCCATTTATATACTGGCTGTTTCAAAGGTCCATGCAAATTCTCATGAAAGTGAAAAGGGATTGCTTATGAGCTCAAGTAGTTTTCTGAAGTTTGGATACGATTCACTTTTTACCAAACCTCAGAAAATAACTACTATTTTCATTTTATAGTCATAGAAGTGGGACAAAGTAAAATGGGAGCACTCTACATTTATTTTTTGTTTAAGAATGTTCAGATTTTTTAGAGGCGAAGGTTTTGAAATTCAACTGAAATTTAACATTTGAAGTAGAGCTAGTGGTATTTTTGCTCTGCAGGAACTCGTCCTTTCTGCTATTGTAGGCCTATACTAGCTATCTCTGGTAGCAAAATGGTTGAACCTATCCAAATCTATGACCTATACACGATATATACTATAATCTGTACTTTAATGGTTCCTTACTTTAATTGGTTCAAGCATTGTGATGTTTGGTTTCTGATGTTTGATTCATTTATCCAATCTTTATATATAATTATCTGATATATGGCCAAGGTAATGGAAGAACTGTTCCGATACGATATTATGGATGTTTTGCTAAAATTTTATTATTTTATTTATTATTTATTGTTATTTTTGTGTGGTCCTTCGATTTAATGGATGATATGTAGGGAGAGGTAGCCAAGTATATCTTCCAAATGAAATGTTTTGTTGTTTATAATAAATAATGAGTAAGTAAAGAGTTTAGTTATTTTGAGAATTTTTCAAATGATAGAAAATGAAAACAAAGTGATTGATTTTGAAGCATATACACCTTTCTGTCTGGAAATAAGAATAAAAAGCGCCATAGTCGTGAAAATTTAGAAGGTTTTCAAGGTCAAGCTCCTTAAAATACTTAATTTACTTCACAATTTTTTTTTCCAAGTGAAGCAGAAACATATTGTATTGTTACCTCTATTGATGATACAGATACATAAACTATTCATATAGAACATTAAGCCTGTAAAATGCTGATAAACTTCTAAACCTATGTAAAAACTCCACAAACGATAAGATTTCCACGAAATTCTCAAACACACGACATGTCCCTAACAACACCAGTACATCCTAGGGACGTCCCTGATTTTATACGAGGACATCCCAGGGATGTCCTTTGTCGGGACAACGAAAAAGGGATGTCCTTCTGGTACATCCCTGGGATGTACCAAGTACGATGAAAGGATATTCCTAGGACGTCCCAAGGATATCCAAGGGACATCCTTTCGACAAAAGAAAAAAGGGATTGAACCCGGGACCTTTGGCTTATCATGCACGCACCTCGCTTCATTGGCTATCATGTCTCCTGAAGATTATGTACTGAACAGCTTTATAAACAGGACTTAACTACAGAAACCTGAATAAATACAACTTCATTAGGAATTGGGTATAATTATTATCATTCTTGTGTTTAAAAATGAGGGGCATTATGCATGTACGATTTCTGTCTGCGAAAATGGTAATTTCTTAAGAAGTTCTGAGACTTTATTCTTTATTTTCAATACAATCATTTTCCGGAAGAAAAACAAACAATTTCAAAAAAATTCAACTCAATAGTTTGATGAAATTCAATGACTCTGATGTGAATGGATATCAGATACTCCAGGGACACGAATAGGATAACCTAGGGATGTACCTACCGGGCGGGATGTCCACTGGACAACCACTGCAGGATATCCCCTGGATGTTCCAATCATGTCCTTGTACCGCGGGACAAAAAAGGGACGTACCTAGGACATCCCTGTGTTGTTAGGGGTTTGCTAACACAGTAGCTTCGTCAGGTGATATACTGGTACAATGAACTCATTTGAATTTTGTGGAAATCTTATCGTTTGGGGAGTTTTTACATTTGCCATGGGTTTCCATCAAGTAACGGCCGAGTCAATTCAAAATTCTAAACGTATACTTACTGAAATCAGAATGTGGAGTTTTCTTTGTTGTGAAAATCACATATTCCAAAAGTTATTATAATAAATCATTGTCAAGAACTCTTGAACTTTGACAGACTCAATTTTACATTCATTCATAAAATAAAATGAACCCTTCTGGGGGGGCGGTAACTACCCCCATTGTATACGCATACAGGGTATTCTATTTCTTTATGCCTGTCCTTCCACTGACTTATTGCATATACAGTGTGTCCCGCTTTTCATGAATACACCCTGATATCAGTTATTAATGTTGCGATTCTCTTGAAATTTTTGTATTGGTTGTATGTTAGAATAAGGAAGTATTCAGCAGAATGAACAGTTCCAATCACCATTGGCGTGCGATGTTGAGGGGTACGAAAAACGCCTTTATTTGCGAAAAGGATGATAGGACTCATTTTAAATAACTTTTTCATCAGATTCATAATCATGCAGCATCCCCAAAAACCCCCTAATTCATATTTTCATTTAAAAATCCCGCTTTTCACAACACCCTTAAATCTCAGTTATCAATGGTGCGATTTTCTTGAAATTTTGGTGATTGTCTGTTGAAAAAATAACATACAAACACCATCACAGTTTCGAGAAAATCGCTTCATTAACTGAGATTTTGGGGCGTAGTCATCAGAAGCGGAATTTTGAAAATATGAATTGGGGGTTTTTTGGGGATGCTGATTCTGAATATGATAAAAAGCGTTAGTTAAAATAAACCCCAATATCCTTTTTCCGAATAATGGCCTTTTTTGTACCCCTCAACATTGCACGCCAATGGTGAATAAAACTGTTCACTCTGCTAAATACTTTATAGTTCTAACATACAATCACCACTGAAATTTCAAAAGGATAACATCATTAACAACTGAGAAATCAGGGTGTATTCATGAAAATCGGGACACCCTGTATAGTGAAAAGTGCGAAATAATCCTGCTCCAAAAAAAAACGAGACTACCGTGGGTAATTAATTGCATCTGGACCCTACATAAGGCATCCTCATGACCATCAGAATTAGCTGAATATATGCAGAGGATAATCTTTGGTAGAAGTCCATATTGCTGGGAGTGGTATTGTGTAGAGACATATTTCAAGCTTTGGGCTTTTCTTTGCATAGAGGATGTTCCCGAGGAGAAGCTTATGAAACTGAGGTATTTTCTATCTATAATTTCACATTTGCAGTTTCAATCACCTCACTCAGTATACCACATTCAGTCAAAAAATCCCAACTTCAAGAAGAAAACGATGATACAGTGTGTTCCTGAGCTGAGAATAGGAATAAGGCTGTTCCTCTTTTCAGTTTCTTAAATGTTCACAATCTTTTATGGCCGGCAACTCTACAACATTCAGTAGAATCAAAAAAACGTGATATCTTGTTCCCTACTGCATCAGAACTCTACACCAATTTGAGGGAATTTCTAGACTTCCACTGGGTGTCATAATTGGTTGAAATCTTGAATATTAGCCAGATAGGAATGAATGATAAACACTGCTTCTTTTTAAATATGGGTAAGAGTAACTTACCATTTCTCAAAATTAAAAACAAAAAAGATTCTGATTTTTAAAAACTTGATTTACTTAAAATCAATCTTAAAAAATACAAAAAACAAAAGTTCTTAGTCGAACAATCCAAATCCCATGTCATCATCTTCTGATTCAGATTCCTCTTTCTTCTCTTCCTTTTTGGCTTCTGAAAAAATAAGAGAAAAAAAATATTGGCCCAGATCTTCAAATAGCTAATAAAATGATGATAAAACCATTGTTGAATCAGTAAATTAATGCTACATCATTGCTTTCTCAGGCGAAAGATGGTGTTATTAAAAATCATCATTGAAATAAAACAAATAAAAATATGTGGAACAAATTGCAAAAAACTTTTGAAATACCCAAACAATAATACAAAAAATGACAATCACAAACCTTTCTTTCCTTCAGCAGCTGCTGGGGCTGCTCCTGGTGCTGCTGCTGCAGCTGCTGGAGCACCACCAACTGGCATTGAGCTCAACTTCTCACGCCCTGTATAACAATAAAAAAATACTCAATCAACTTGCTCAATGATTCTTGACTTTCGAAGAATCCTCAAATTTTGTCAGAACAGATATTGAAATCATCAAATCTCATACGAAAGATGGTATAAGAATTATCTCATCATAGGTATTACTTATCAACATGATGAATTTAAAACCTTAGAATGTAAAGCTTTTGATAAAAATTATCCTGCAAGATACAACCAAGACATCAGTGTAATGTAAGGATATTAGGCCTTTCTATTTTAGACTTGGTTTACAACATTACAGTAAGTTCATGCAGATTCATCTGATTGATTTTTTCAACCCCCATGGAAAATGTAAATTGAACTTAGTTGAACTGAAGCCCAGAGACACTAGGCACTACCCTCCTGAACAGTAGGTCTTTAAGAAACAAAAAAGTTGCTGAACTTTTTTCAAACTAATACCATTCAGCAAATTATGGAGATGAACAAAATTCTTCAGCAAATTGCAAAATCAACAATAATGGATCCTGTACCCATGCCCCATGGGATATGAAACACTTGACTTTCAAATTGATATAGGTAGATATAATGTGTTTAAATGCATATTTGAAATCAATATATTTTCCACTCACCTTGAGCGATCAGTTCGTCGATGGACTTTCCATTGAGTTCCTTGATAACCCTGCTCAATCTTTCTCCATCAGCTTCAACACCAACAGATCCGAGGATTTTTTCAAGATCTGAACTTGCTGGGGAATTATTGCCTCCCAAGACGGCAAGTAAGTATGCAGCCACGTAACGCATCTGGAATAAAAAAGATAATATTATAAATTATAAACATCATGGAAAACAAGTAGGTACCTAACCTATAAATATCAAATCTAGAAAAATCGTAAATTCAGAGAAGCGATCTCATTACAAATTGTATATAGAAATATAATTGAGAATATCTATAATAATTCATAAATAATATTTATAATTTATCATGTTTTTCTTATTTTACTCACTTTTAAGTCTAGAGACACGAAACGTGTTGCTACTTCACAAAATGTAACAGAAAGGAAGCAAAAAGAACCGAAAACAACACAACTGGAAAGTGATAACGGAACAGACAAATCAGAAATGACAGTGACACTATGAAATGCCAGTAACGACACTTGACACAGAAGTGAGATGTCACAGAAGCACAGAACCAACCATCACAGAGCGTAACGAGTTTGTAAAACGCTTAGATCCTTAGATCATACAGGATCTAAGATCTAAGGTAAAACGTTTTCCTAAGATGTTTTCCGAATGTTTTCCGTAAGCAACACCAGTCCAATGAACTGAATATAAACAACACAAACAACACCAGTCTAGATATTCAGCTGTCATTGCTTTTTCCCGCTATTTCAGTCCAATGAGAGCTAACATTTTCAGTCTCACCAGTTGGCGCTACTAAAACATGAGGCTAACGTGTGGCCTGTTTATCGAAAATATTCGAAAAAAAATTTAATACAATATTTGAACAAATACAAATCATCAAGTTATGGAAACACTTGAGCAGACGTTTTTTCTCTCAATGTGGAACTTTATAGGTGTCCTAAAGTTCTTTTTAGAAAAGAATTAAATTTTCAGCAGTTTTTTCTTAGGAACAAATATAATGCATTAAAATGTCGTTTCAACTTTTGATCTTTTGCTGATTTTTATTTTGTCATATAATTTCAAGTAGCACAAAATTTATTGATAATTTAAACCCAAAAAAAATATCGTTTTATTATGGATCATGAATTGGTACTGTTGGCACTGTTGGCAGTCAACCCTTGAAACCCCCTTCGAGCTTACTCAATGAGGTTATATGTTCAGGAGGTGCTAGGAAATTTTGAGATATTTTATCAAAATTCCGAAGTTTTTACTCAGAATTTTGACCTTTAAAAATTGAGAGTCGAAGTTATTTATCATAGTCATATGAACTGTCTTTTTTAAATAACAACATCGACTATACAGGATGATTCATATGGTATTATTGTGACATATTAAACATACGTTTTTTTCTAAGATGGCTACAAGGGACAGCCATCTTAGTTTTTTCTAATTGGAATACCCTAAATTTGAATACGTCCTTGGATACAGCTCAGAAAGACAAATTCAATTATACAGGGTGTCCGGAAATTATGCGCGAAAAATCAAGGTTGTGATTCTGCATGATAAAATAAGAAATTCATTTCATATGTACGTGTTTCCGGAAATGCAGTTTCCAACATACAGTGTGATAAAACTTTCAAAAAACATCGTGTTTTTATGAATATCTCGAATTCCTTCCACCGATTTCCTTGAAATTTGGCAATGATATTTTTTGTCATGTAGCTATAATTCAATTGGAATTATGAAATCCAGTGGCGTCCTGGAGCGAACCTACCAAAAATTATTGTCAATGAAACGTGCGTCACTGATTTTTTTTAAATCTGAATCTTAACAACCTAATGACCAACTAAAAATACAACATTTTGGCTACTTGAATTATTTTGATAATTTGCTTCATTTCCATGGAAAAAAATAATTACCAATTTAATGCATAAATTTGTGCCAAAAAAATTCTTCAAAAACTGGGGTGAAAATAAATGCGTGATCAATATCCATAGACATAAAATGAGTATGAAGATTTATTTTCTTCAAATATTTCTTGATACATGTTTGACACACTCTACACTCTGTATATTGAGAAATATGTAATCTCGGTCCAGGAAGGCGTATAGTTTTCGGTAATACAAAGTGTGTCCAACATGTATTATAAAATATTTGAAGAAAATGAATCATCATTCTTAATCTACTTCTATGGACATGGATCACATATTTAATTTCACCCCTGTTTTTGAAGTAATGTTTTGCACAAATTTATACAATGAATTGGTATTTATTTTTTTCCACGGAAACGCAGCAAAATAGCAAAAGAATTCAAGAGACCAAAATGTTGTATTTTTATTTATTCATCAGGATATGATGATGAATAATATGAAAAAATCAGTGGCGCACAATTTATTGACAATTATATTCGGTAGGGTACCCCCGGGACGCCACTGGATTTCACAATTCCAATGTGAAAATGACTTAATCAGCCCCTGATGACAAAGAATATCATTGCCAAATTTCAAGAGAATCGGTGGAAGAATATTTGAGATATTCATAAAAAACCGAATTTTTCTCAAAAGTTTAACACACTGTATCCTAAAAACAATGCATTTCCGGGCCCAATTATATATGAAATAAATTACATGTTTTCTCATGCAGAATCACCCCCTCGATTTTTTGCGCATAATTTCCGGACACTCTGTATATATGATGACATGCATCTGAGATCAACTGTTTCGGACTTATGATCTTCATCAATAAATAGCCAATTTCGAGGCACCATATTATAGAAACGTTGAGAAATGAGTTTTCGATGCCTAGTTTTCGTCATGAATCAACAAATTCTATATTTATGTTAATTATCTTGATATTTCGTCAATATTTAGACATTTTTAATTTGCCAAAAGTGATAACGATTTTGCCCGTTCCGCTTCAAGGTTTCAACTTTGGGATATACTCATTGCAGAAAAATGTGTCCTCACTGTATATAGGTACGCACACCCCGTCGTTGTTTGGTAACCATAGTAGGGTAGGTAGCCAGGGTAAAATCTATGATCAATATCAAGGATGGACACAATATCCAAGAATAGCGAGTAACCAAGAAAACATTCATACGAATTTAATTTCGGAAATTCTATAAGTAGTGAAAATTCGAAATATTTCTGAAACTATAATAAGATGTCCCTCTATGATACTTCCATATTCCCGAAATCAAACCATGGTGCCTGTGCTGAATATTTCACATCAATAAATACAACCAAATTACTGAAAAATAGGTGAAGTAAATAAGTCAGAGATATGAAAAAGTTAACAAAAATTGTAATCCTGTAATATGCGTTTTAAGGACTTCAAGGTGTACAGATGACACCAACAGAAATGTATATATTGGTTATCATCTAGCCCAGAAGGATTTATGTAAAGCAGAAATAAAACTAAGGGCGAAGACAGCAGAGGCTTCAAAGCACAGGCAAGTTCTTGAAGATCAATGGAAAAAACTTGCAGAAAGTGAAAAGCAATTCAGGGAAACATTTCAAGATTTTAACAAGGTATGAAAATAGCAGGGGAGAACTGGGTGACTCGTGAATACGTTTGTAACCAATTTGTATCTACGGACTCATTGCAATAATCCGATTACAAGAGAAAATTCCACGGTATTTTCTTGCCGATTATATCTCCTTAAAACCAGAGGAGACAATTAACTGAGCTCAGTGAGTAAATCGTGCATCTATCTCGAGAAACTCTTTACTCTGTCAACGTAAAACATGAAAAAGAAATAGCTATTTGTATAACAAGGGAGGAAAGTGTTACTTTTAATCCTGAAGGATAAGGCACTTTACTCCCATGTTATAAATATGATTTTTCCGCCTTCCTCAAATAACAAGTATACCTTATAGGCAAGCGTTATTTTCATTCTTGTATCCTATATACTTTTAATTTGTGGTAGAGTAATTGAGACAGATACAGGGTGATCAGAATTCTGAATCTTGAACCACCCTGTATCTGTTCCAATTAAATGTCAGTAGATAGTAAATCAAGAGTTAAGATAGGACATGTGAGCCGTTTTATCTAATAATGAATAAATTCGGCACAAAAAATTCAAAATTTGAAAAATCTCGATTTTGAACACCCTATATCTCTGTAATGATTTCCGCTAGTCCCTGAGTGTGATAAAATGATGGTATCAGCTCTTCAGATGAGAATCTAAAAAGGCAATGATATACAGCGTATTCCATTGGAAAAATAGCAACTTTGATACATTTCGTGTTTTTGGCACACCCTGTACATCAGAATATTGTTAAAATGTAGCGCTGATAGGTCCATATTCATCCGAAAAAAAAACTGTCGAAGAAAAAACCAAACGCTTTAGCCACAAGGCTACGTGTCGAATAACGTGAATAACCCTGTATAATATCGATGTCATATGAGTTATTTCATTGATGACGTACAAAGACTTCAACAAATAAATGAAAAAAAAATATGGCTCACCCATATTTTATTCTAGTTTGTAATAGAAAATGGCGAAAAAAGACTCAGAGCTACAAAAAAAATTGAAGAAAAGGAAAAACTATTGGATCAAAGAGTCAAACGAATTACTGACCTACAGAGTGAAATGGGACAACTTGAAGAAATAAAAAAGTACATGGATGAAGGCATAGTCGCCATGAAAATTTATGAGGTAGGTATAGGTTTAGATATACAGGGTGTTTCTCAAGTACGTGTAGAAAATTCAGGAGCATATTACTGAGTTCAAAATAAGGAGAAAAGTTCGAATAAACATATGTCCGAAAGTTATTCGTTTCTGAGATACCGAGTGTCAAAGTTGAATTCTTATTTTGGTTTTTTGTTAATGAATTTTGAAATAATTGTGATATTCGAATGAAGTTTGGTATCTAGGGGTATTTTTCAATGACACTATCAAATTTTATGTTCGTTTGTCTCTTTCGTGAGGGTGGCGTCACCTACATGTCTTTTGAGTCTTTTGAAAAGTCATAACTTCTTATTTTGACGTCAGCAACATGCTCCTGAATTTTCTACACGTACTTAAGAAACACCCTGTATATAGCTTTCATAACCATCAGAGCTAGAAATATCAATACAAAGCCTTCATATTATAACTATATTTTTAGAATTTTTTGATCAAAGTTGTGAATAAATATCCAAATCAATTCACATCCGTGATGGACATAGTTGAAAGGTATGAATCACTATTGTTAGCTCGGAAGGAACTGTCAGCAATGCAAGCAATTGCCATGAATAGATATGATGCAGCAAGATCAGAATTTGTGAGTAAACAGTAATATATCTATAAAATCAGGTGAAACCTACACTTTTATTACTTATTTTTAAAAAAATCACACACGCTCCTGATCAAGCGAGCGTTATTCATCGTTATTTAACTTTGTCAGAATAATTTTGTAGGATAAAGTTACGAAGGAAAACCATGTTGAAATTGCTGGTCTGAAGAACAAACTATCGGAACTCCACTTACGTTATGAGAAGGCACAACAGACTTCACAAAAATGGGAGAGCGTTCATCATTTGGTAAATCTTGGAACAATTGAAAAATTAAGACAGACCGAAATTGTGAAAGAGAGCTGCAGACAAATTTATCGAAATATATGTGAAAGAAAAGGAATTCCACCTATCCATGAGAATGATTATATGAAACAATTTGAGATTATTAAGAAGTGTCTTCGGAAACATGAACTGGTAAATGAAATGGTGCAGAACTTGGAGGAAGAGAAACTAAAACTATCTGAAAAACCATGCCTATCAGACACTACTGATTGATTGCAATGAATGGTCCTGAAGAGAACAACATATTTTTGGTTCCAACTTATCAAGCGAGTTATTGAATGGTTTGAAAATATGCTATATCCAGTTAGTTATGTACAGTACTGACCAAATAAGTCGTAACGACTTTTGGTCGAATTCATCAAATGATTTTGTCTAAGCAGAAATAGAAATATTCAGAGATATACACCTGACTATCTCATACCACAATAAGAAATATGTGATTGAAACAGCGGGCGGTTGGAAAAGATATTAGTCAGTGTGCATAAACCGAATTTTCAAAGGGATTTTCACAGAAGTCGTTACGAATTATTTGGACAGCACTGTACACTAATCGACAAACAAGGGCAAACATTTTGGTAGACCAGCAATATAAAACTTAGAACTTTTCATGGCTAATAAAATTGCGAATTTTGTCAGCGAATTTGAATTTATTTCGTATGCCTGAAACCTCACAGAATCTCTGAGAAAAAAGGGATAACAGGAGAATGAGCCATGTGATTATGATAATTTTTCAAATACAGGGTGTCTCAAAATTCAGTATCAAGATTTCAGACTTATATTTCAGGTCAAAATCGATCAACAGAGACAAACAAGTTTATAAACATAACAAAGAACTAATTTCGTAATTTAAAATGTACCAGTGGCGCACCACAAAAAAAGTTTATGAAGCGAAAAAGGGCCAGACCTCTGAAAAAATATATCTCCCTGTTGATTTTACAATCACTCAGCTTACTGTATGATGTGAACCCTGAAACGTAAGATATGTTTCAAATTTGATCTGAATATCTCGAAAATTGAAAGAGCTATAAACGAGAATGAAAAAAAATCTTCATATTTTAACGCTCTGTGTGGATCGGTAACGAAGCGTTTGTGGATACATGCTTATAGAAAAAAAAAGTCTCATTTTGATATGAAAAATAAGCACATGAAATCTTGATACTCAATTTTGAGACACCTTGTACACTAAAAAGAATGGAATGCAATTAGAAGATGACTTACTAACATATTGATATGAAGGGGATGATATATCTAGTTTTGATGAGTTTTTTGTTTATTATTAGGTACGTTGGTGATTTGGGAACAATTCTAAATAAATTTTGATAAAGGCACTGTATAATTTATTGGTCTGGTAGTTATTCGATGTTAGGAGATACCAGTTAGGAGTTTCAACTGACACATGATTTATGTCCTCAATGATTAATTACAATAAATGTCAAAACATCTAATATTTTGAGTTGATTTTTTATTTTTTATAATACTGTACATCCACTTTTATCAGTATTTCAAAATGAAAATTGTTGCAATGAATAACCCACCAAGAATCGTTTTTCCAAAAATCAAACCTGAAAATGCTGTATTGGATTTGAGAAAATCTAAGAATATAGAAAAATTGGATAAGTATGCTTGTTGATTTTGAAAAAATATTTCATCAGGAATCATTTGGAATATGTTTCAGAGTATATCCAGAATTTGATGTTTGTCAAAGTGATCCAAAATCTCACTTGGCACTCCTACAGATAAAGTTACATAAAACCGAAAAATTACTTCGGCAAAAGAGAAGAAATCTTGTGGAAGTTAGAAAAAGTCTTGACGAACAATGGAAAGACCTGGACAAAAAAGAAGAATCTTTAAGAGAAAACTTTTGTCATTTTGATACAGTAAGTATTAACATGTATTAATGACACAAAAAAGTCTCAGAGCGTTGAATTGAAATGTATAATCCATTTTCATTAGTTTGTTAGAGAAAATGCCGAAAAAAGAGAAAGAGCCTCCAAGAAAATAAAAGAAGATAAACTATTGGCGATGCAACGACAGGAAGAAATAAATGATTGTCAAGCTAAATACATAGAAATTAAACAAGCCAAATTCGAAATGGATATGAAAATTAAGGAATATCGTATATATGATGTGATTTTATTTATATTCCAAAAATGTTCACAATGTACATTCTATTCAACATTCTTTTAGGAATTTTTAGATAAGGTAATTGAAACTTCAGATGAGTTTACCAGTAATCAGGATATGATTAATCGGTACTTATCATTACTTAATGCCAAAAATTACCTTGCAAAACTACAAGAAGATAATCTAAGAGCATTGGAAACTGCTCGGAGTGATATGGTAAGAAAAGTTGGAATGAGTAATTTCAAATTGTTACAGAAACTAGCACATACTAAAGATTTATAGCAAAATCATAATGTATTTATGGTATGGTAAGAGATATGTTTTTAATTTAGTTTCTAGGAAATTCAACTCACTGTTCCATATTTTTCAATTCCCAGAATTTATTGAATGGCAAACAGAAACTATAAGAAAACCTGGCTATAAAATAAATATTTCCGAAATAGTCTCGGAAATAGTCTTTTCATCGATAGAAAATCATAAGATATAAGAATTCTATATACATATTATGAATTTTTCCACACAAACAGAGTTCCACAAGTTCAGTTCTCAAATAGAGTATGTATACAGACCATATAATCCACAAATTCCTCATTCGGTTTCAGAAACATTTTTTGAGTATGGTGCTTTCAGTCCTACATTCAGATCCTGACCAAAGCAAAATTTTGTGATACTTTTGAATTACCACTGAACTGTTTATTTTGCTTTAGATGAAACTTATTGAGGAGAAGAATTTCATCATAATGGGATTGAATAATCAAATAGCAAACCTTCAATCTAGATATGAAAATGCAAATATAAAAGCATTAGATTGTGAGCAGTCAGTGATACATATAAAAAATCATGCTGTCTGTATCTCATATATTTGTTTATGTACTAGAATTTACGATTGGCATTTTCTTTTAGGTACGTCTGATGTTTGAAATTGATGAAGTGAAATCATCAATTTGGAATGTGTATGTACACATGGCACATTCCAAAAAACATCCAGTGAAGATTAAGAAAGAAAATATTGAAGAACAGATGATGTATATTAAACGTACCCTCACAGAACTCTCCAAAGTCAGTCAGATATTGAAAAAACGTTCTAAAATGAACACTAAATCTGAAAAGTCAAAAAGTAAATCCGCTGAATGATTTTATCCTAGTTTTAATGCTACATGTACTTTATATTTTTTTCAATTTCAAATACATATATACACAACAGGTTTTGATGCAACATGTTTTCAAAGGTATAAATGTACCTATACCAGAAGATCAGGACCTAAAATGTTTAACTGATCAAAATCAATTAATTAAATTTTGAATATGGAATACAAAAAAACAGTGACACAAGATATTCATCATCTTACACCTATTTTATTACTAGCAATAAATCGGGCAATAAATGAATGATACACTTCTCTTTGTTTTAAATCATCACCCACTAAATCATTTCTACACAGGTTTCTTTCATGTATGTCAAGGTCCTGAATGATCATATCACTTTCCTCATCCTCACAATCTATGCAAATATTATGAATGACACATGCTGCTTCAATACATTGTATGATGAAAGGCAAGTCTCTATTCTCAAAATGTTGGAGACGTTGAAATCTCCCTTTCAATAAACCAAATGTTTCAGAGACTATATCAGAAGCAGTATGATGACATTCATTGAAATGCTTCTGGTTATTACTAAGTTTTCCATTATCTTGGAAAGGTTGTATTAACCATGGAGTATTAGAATAGTTATTATATCCTAAAACATTATTATATTCCTTCAAGTGAAATATTCCAGTATCTGAGCACTTACCAACTAGACAAAATTCATCTAAAAGACCATCATTTCCCTCCTCTGGTATTGAAGATTTATTCAAAATATCCTGGGGATCATTTCTTCCTTCTGAGATAAAAATGTTTATGAATTTCTTATTGATTGTTACAACTCCTGAAATACACTAGGTTTCAGAACTATGCAAAAAGAATAATTCAATCAATATCTACCTTGCAAAGCAATACTGTGATAAGTAGACCTAACATAATTTTCTGACTCCTCTTTTGGTTTTGGAATCTTAAAATGTGAAACACCTACAGCACCTATAATTCCACTTATTTTGCAAAACTCTTCAAACATATCTGATATTAGAGGATACTCATCCACAGAAGGCCATAGAATATGTTCTTGTTTTTGAGAGGATAACTTCAGAGTTCCTAATTTCACAATATTATGTATGGTACTCATTGTCACTTTGAATCTATCTGAAATCTGTTTGAAGGTTTCCTGGTTCCCCAAATACCATAATAATATATAAGTAGCTTTTTCTGGTGATATTCTTTCCCATCCACCTTTGTGATTGCTTGAAAACTCAGACTGAATAATTTCTGTAATTAGATGAAAATCAACCATTCATGACTCAAAACACATTAATTATGTACCTACCTAAAATTTTATCAAATGTGGCTCTATTAATTCGAAAACTTTCACGAAATTCATGGTCACTGAATATTGGTATTGAAACTTCTGCAAATCCTTGTTTTTTGTTGATATTATGTCCACTAGATTTCAATAAGTCATTAGTTTTTCCTGTACAAAAACATTCATCTTCAGAATCATCACTGCTACTAGCTAGCAAATAGTTGTCTTCATCAAAATCAGCAGAGTACAAAAATGCTTCCTAAAAACGAAATTGTAAAAAAATAATAACAATATGTAAAAATGTACATTCTGTCTGCAAACAGATGCAGGTATAACACACAAAAATCGTTACTTACTACAGCAAATCTGTCCATACTTTTTTTGAGAGTTCCAGATAATGAGATAATATATTCTTATGTTCAAACTACAAAGCCGAAAATCCTTAGAATCCATAAAAGATCGTGCATAAAAGTAAACAACCAAAAGTCAAAAAATACCATAACCACACTTCCTCTTATTTCTTCTTCTTATTTCTTCTTATCCTAAATTTATTTTGACATCCGCGACTATTTTTTCAAATTATTCAATTTTTGGAATCTCCATGGGAATCTGAATCCAACAAAAGGTTATATTACACTTAGAGATGGGGTTTGTATACAATGGGTCCATTTAAATTAAGTGATCCCCTAAAAATTTAATATACAGGGTGATGACCACGTTTCAGTTAGGTATAAATTATAGTTCCGTGACAATTTTTTCAAACCCCCTATATATTATCCAATTTTAGGAATCTCCATGAAACACTGGATTCAAAAATATATCACATATATGGTTTTACAGTGCGTCCATTAAATTCAGTGCTCTCATAAAATAATGGAGTTGCTATTACAATGAAAATATATATACCGATGACGATCGAGACACGAATCATTCAAAAGTTGTACCCAAATGAAAATAACATTCCTCGACAGCTTCGCGCGTTCTTTACAAACATTATTCCGGTATAATTTTCAACGAATTTATCGGAATTTATCATAACTATAAGTATATACTTTTACGAGATCGAGCACAAAATTTATCGGACATACTGTATTCAAACCCTATGTGTAGAATATTTTTGAATTCAGATTTCTATCGAGATCTCAAAAATTGAAAAATACATCTAGAGGGTGTTCAATATGAAAAAATTGTCGTGGACGTCATTATATTCTCAAACGTGGATCTCCTGCTTGTATATTCAATTTCTCCATTCAAATGTGGCAACATACAAATTGACCTGTGAAATCTCAAAATTAAATTTTCAGTATAAAATGTCAAAGTTTTCTCTAGCAGGAGGCAAATATATAAAGTTTTCTCATAGAATCTTGAGACTTTATTCTCGCAACGTTATGCCTAAGCTGGCGATTTATGCAACGGCCCTATATGATCCAGTGCCGTATCAGGGGGAGAGGGTGAACAGGGGACCCACCCCTTTCCCCCGAAATTCCAGTTGATGAGAATGTATACGGGAACAGATTCGACAACCGTCCGATTCGTCAGAACTTGAAAATTCGGGCGGAATTTTGAAATTCAAGATGGCGGAACCAATATGGCGGACGAGTTTTGTAATTATAATCCGAATCTTTTCAAAATTGGTACCTAGGGGTTTTCGTGATTGGGGATTAATGATTCCTTCGTCAAAATTAAGAAATTCAAGATGGCGGATCCAAAATGGCAGATTTTGTAATTAGGATCAGATTTTATTCAAATTTGAGATCTGGTGGTTCTCGGGGTCGGAGATTATGATTCTTTCGTCAAAATTAAGAAATTCAAGATGGCGGACCGAATATTATTATATATATATTATTATTATTATATTCAAAATTTTCATCTGGGGTTTTAGGAGTCGGATATTATGATTCTTTCGTCAAAATTGGGAACTAAAAAGAAGTTGAAATAAATGGTAGTTTAAAAACTGAAGAAACACGCTTTAATAGATAGCGAAACTGAAAAGAAGTAGCAAATACAATAATAATAGTGTCTTGATGAATTATTGAACTGAAAAAATATATTATAGAAATAATATGTATATAGCAAAACAAATCGTTTGCGAGGTCTGCGAGTAAGTATATAACTTTGTTTTTGATGGTGTCATTCGATAGGTAGGTACCACGTAGGCATATATTTATTAATGAAACTTGACCTATCACAATGCGTCGTCCCTTTTGAATTTGCGCAAGACCGCAGCGCCATCGTGACGTCACGATCAATAAGCGACGGCTCGAATCACACATTACCCCTCGTTGGTGTTTGTTCTCAGAAAAATTCGTTTTCCAATCTCCTGAAACATGTAAGTTATTTTCTACTACTCAATTTGCAATGTGCAAGTACCTAAATGTGGCAGAAATCTGTATCATTCTCTGACACGACACGATTATCAGTGACTAAGCTGATGATAGTGTGCCGAACATTTTAGATATATTCCGGCATCTTTGAATATTTTGGGGATTGGCTCTACATTCATGGGGTGTTGTTCAAACTTCAAAACTCCATTTGCTATAACTTGAACAGGAATGATATGCAATTTTCAGTCTCGATATTCAGATATAGAATGTACCAACAGCTCAGAAGAGTTGCTCTCATTAGTGAGCTTGTTGAAAATATAGGTAGTTTTTATCATATAACATTTGTTGGTTCTTTAGGTATATTTAGGTTTTCATATCATAAAGTATGTAAATTGATGACTATAATCGCTATGAAATAATTGGAGCCTTCATATTAAGTAGGCTGGTATCAATCGGTACTATATTTTGAGTTTTCTATAAAGCGTGTGTGAAGAAGGTATCTAGGTATAATTTGGATTATTGGATCAATGTCGTTTTTTGAACTGACAAGGTACCTATATCCCAATTGAATCGTTTCATGTTTGCATTAGTAGATTAATGCGTATGACATATTTGTGGTTTGGTTGGTACAAACTCATTACCTATATATGTGGTTTTCTTCAGAAACCTTAAATATAGTTAGCGACGGTAAAGACAATTGATTTTTAGAGGAAAATTCGTCGCGCAAGCGTTTTACGTGACAGCATGTTCCGATGTAATGAAGGTAATTATTTAGTAAAGATTCAAACAAACAAGGTTGAGGTTTATTTAATCTATGTATATGGTATGGCGATTTTTTTGAAAAAAATACAGTGTGATTGGAAAACATATGGCAAATATTAAAGAGCGTTTTCATGACATCAAAATAATAATAAAAAAACTATAAAATATAATGCATAGGTACCTATATGTGGCTCTTTTTGTTCCTGAGATACATGCATATATATATACGTATAGTGTTGGAGTTGGAATTATGAATAAACAACTTTTCACCAGCCTGTATCAGATCGTCAGAATAATCAATCGCCTCAAAATATCCATGAAGATTGCTAATCAATAACATGGTTAATTTAAGTCCAATTGGATTGTTCGTTTATTCAAAGCGCAAGTAATTCCATGAGGAATCTTATATACTACTATATATACAGAGTGACCCATTTGAAAGAAGGTCACACCCTCATAGATTTTTTATTCATGGACCGATTTTGACGAATTGTTTTTAAAGTGTAGGGGAAAAGGCGTATTTTGGGGCCAAGCAGCTAAAAACCAAGGCCTACTAGATCACATTCAGCGGCTGAAAAATCCAGAATCCATATATTAGCGATTTTTTTAGAAAATATCCGGTTACGCCACTGGAATCGGCATACTATGAAATAGATCTGTACCAAAGTTCCATGAAAAAATATTCAACATCAACGACTCTATGACTGAATTACTGACAAGTTATTCATCATGCATTGAAGAGCTTTTTATGTTGTAATATTCATAATAGCAATGCAGTTTCCCCTAATAAAGGGGGTTCAACCGTTACCACCGATACAACATTCAACATAGAAACAGTTTTAAAAATCCAGAATCTGAAATCAATTGATATAATGTTTGTTGATTCAATATTATTTTAGAAGAATGTCTTTATAGTATTATAGGGGAATATGTCTTTATAAGAATGTTTTTTTTATCGCATGGGTTAGTGTTGAATATTTTTTCAGCAAACTTGGTACAAATCCATGTCAGAGGACGTCGATTCCAGTGGCGTACGCAGATTGATTGCGTGATTGTGACTTGTGATTTTTAAAATGGAACACCCTGTATTTTTCCTTCAAAATGATATACAGGGTGATTCAGGTGTTGAGGTACAAACTGAAATGGGTGATAGATCCCATCATTTCAATTACAAACGTTTATGTCAACATGAGTCTGCTCTAGATCAGTAGCGGATCTACCGGGGCCAGTTTTTCTATTAGGTAATTAAAATATTTGAAGATATCAATTTGAAATTCGATGTGGTTGATACTTTCTAGGAATTCCATCATTTCAAGCATTTTAGAGATTTTTTAAATCTACAGGGTGATATGTTTCTGTAGGTATTGGCTTCTTCATCCCTCCCAAACTTTTTCGTAGTACGTCTCTGAGGTTTTATAGTTACCAAATGAAGTGGATCGTTCATTTGATAGGCTCTTTTTGCTTCTCAGTTTTTTTCGAGAAACAAACCGTTTTTGAGATAAATAAGCATATCCGTTCTAAAACATGTTAATGTTATCTATTTATTTCTCTTCAATTTCATTCTTGGACAAAATTATGGATTGGATTGAACACTACAATCTCATTGGAGCGAGATTTTTCTGGCTCTTTAGCCGCTATAAATATGTTACTGACTCCAGCACATCACGAAAGTTATAGGATACTCATTGTAATTTCAATGGTACTGTTTGTTTTTCCTGACCTATAACAGGTTCGTTTTATCCTGACACCATATACATGTTTTCCTTAACATTCATAATGTATTTTAGGTCTTATTTAGTCTGATGATGGCCGTTATTGTGCCGAAACCGGTCACTTCCTAATGTAATTTTTTATATAAAGTGTGGTCGACCGACTTGGAGTTTTTTCTTTCATTTATGAATACTATGGGACCATAGTATAATTCTGTTCACATCTTCTGTTTCTGTTTCCCACAACAAAATCTCTTCACCTTTCTCTGTTCGTTAATATTTCTCTTCAATCGTTACATCACGAATGCTGTTGCATGCACTGTTAACCAGAAGCTCCTTGGTTCTCACTCTTCGAATTGTTTTTCTTGCAGCATCATAATTTGGTAATAGTACTGATGCTTCCATCGATACTTTGCTTGCTTGTGAAATTTTCCACGGACCATCTTCCGCCGTCCTTGCCATGTTCTTAACATTTTCAAGAATTCCATTTTTAGCCTCATTTGAACCATGATTATGGGACGTTGTTGGTTTTTTGGAGTCGCCGCAAGCTATTAATCGACCTTTACAATATTTCTCCGTACATCTCCAGGTAGCGGAAGTGAGATGCACCTTATTTTTACTGTATCCTTCATGGATCAAAATAACACCACCTTTTTTTTTTGAACGAGAAAGATTCATCGTGACGATACAATTCGTTCTGACGTTTTGGGCGCTATTTTGTCCCATTCCCAAAAGTCCGGGCACTGTTTAATACCGAGCGATTTTGACCTTCTGTGAAATGTACTAGCGATATTTTGAAACATCTACTTTGTTTTTAATTGAAGTCAAGAAATAATTCCTGGATGAGGACAATTTTATTATAATATTATCTCGTATTCCATTGGGAATGCACCAGGTCACATTTTGGAGAGAACTAATAACGTAGTGTGGGTGCAAAACCAGTGCACCACCAGGTTTACGAATGGAATTCGCAATAATAGTTGTCATTTCTGTGCCCGAACTCTTCATCCAGTGACTCTATGCCAAGAGCGAGACGTTCAGTATGCGGTCCGACCAAGATCGAGACGTTCAGTACGCGGTCCGACCAAACGACCCCATACTGCTAGGGACTAATCGATGACGATTTTACAGGTCAGCAGGGGACTCGTTGGCCCCCACGGCCGGCAGTGGCGGTGGCGACGACGGCATTGTGGGGGGGCCACGCACGCCCCAACAGGTGGCGGCGCAGCGGCGGCTGCAGCAGACGCAGGCGCAGGTCGACGAAGTAGTCGACATCATGAAGACGAACGTCGAGAAGGTGCTCGAGCGGGACCAGAAACTCTCCGAACTGGACGACAGAGCAGGTGAGAACGAATTTTTTTTTATGTTCTGGTTCCCACGAAAAGGGATATCCTGTAATGTTCAGAGAACATCGTGAGAACCGAGGGAAATAAAGTAGGAATTGGTGTTCTTTTTGAATTTCTGGAGGTTATATGCCTCGGGGAACACCTCCCTTGGCAATGTGTTCCAGAGCCTCGCTGTTCGTTGGATGAACGAGTCTTTGGAAAGAGATGTTCTGCAGGTCTCCAAAGTGACCACGAAGGGGTGCGAAGCCTCAACTCGACGGGTTAATCTCGCGGGGACTGCCAAGGGAGGTACAATTGTTGATATTTCAGAAGAGCATCGTCCATGAAAATATCTATAGAATAGAGCCAGATCGCCAACTTTCCTACGGTGTTCCAGATAAGTGAGTGAGTTTGTGAGCGAGGCATCACCCACGACGAATTGCCCTTTTTTGGACAGAATCCAACAGTTTCAGGGTATGTTTGGGTGCTGCACTACAAATATGGGAACAGTATTCCAGGACAGGTCGTATATGTGCCTTATAGGTAATAAGCAGCTGACTGGAAAGGAAATAGCTCCTGGCCCGAAACAGAAAATCAAGTTTTTGGGATGCACTTTTTGCAATTGATCTCACGTGATCCCCAAGAAATGTTATTGCATGTACCCACTCAGACGGCACAATCATATTCCATCATAGCCTGATGTGAACATTGCGTTGGAATATTGACATATGCCATGGATATTCCATAAATTCCAAAAATATATGAAAAATGCATATATTCCAGGAATATCCAAAGTCAGCATGAAGCAGAGATGCCAAGAATATCTGTGTATCTTCCAAAAGATATTGGTGGCATATGCTATTGATATGTTCTGTATATATGCTTAGAATATGCTTTCCGTCATAACTAGAATGTTTTATCGATATGATATGTGATATTACGCAAATGATTGAAAAATCTATTTACAGAATATAGATAGTACGTAAGATACTTGAGGCTTGAACTTTATATATCGAGTGATTTCTTTCTTCTCTTGATCGGTAGCGGTGATAAATTCAACATGATCTGCAATGGGTATACATGAATAGCATAGCAAATACTTGAATATGAAAACTGATTGAATTCACTCACTTTTGCTTGGGGCGTCCAACAAGAGTTGGAAGAACTAGATACTGAATCTGTAAACATCTCTATTAATCATTCAGTATATATAACAAAAATATTTTCCTATATTTCATTCCCCGAGTTTTAACCAACAGTTGAATCACAAAACAATAAAGACATTCTATAATTATGTGTTTTGTGTTCTGTGTTCAGATCACAAAATAATTACTTTTGGAACGTCAACTATCGTTGTTTTTCTCAGAATCCAGAATCTTTATGAACATATCCCTTCCAAACGGCCTTTTTCCGGAAAAATCGCTCTTTTCCTCAACGTTCCACAAATTCCCACGAAAACGGGAATTTTCCCGTATAACTACACTGGGTGACTGTGACTGGTGACTGTGCTCCCTCTGGACTGTGGCCAGGTTTGCCAGTTCGATTTTTTTTCAACTGTAAAAAATATACCTTATCACAAATTCAGTAGATAGGTCGGCATTCCGACAACCTGATTTTGCCTGCGTATAGAACAAACTGATAAATATCAAAAGGATTCAACAAAGAAGAGAAACAAATTCGAGTTATCATAAAAAAACTTACAAAATCGGGCAAAGTCACCCCAGTTGATGCGATACTCAATTTATTTCATTTTGCTGGTTCACTTTTGTATAAACTCTTCAAAGAAATCTGATCTGAGAATCACTGATTTTTTTATCGAGAGACGTTACCTACCAAACTGATAAGACGTGAAAATGGAGTTTTTCCATCGTTGAAATCAATTTTTTTTTAATCCCAATTTTGGGGGAAAGGGATTGAAACTTCTAACCAGTTAGTCAAAATATGTTCAGAGGAGCAACGAATTTGAATTACGAACCATTAAAAACGCTTCTGAAAATATGTAATTTTATCATTATTTGTCCTTCTTATAGGTATTTCCACAACCTTATGTTGACTTTTTTTTTACAGATGCATTACAACAAGGTGCTTCACAATTTGAACAACAAGCAGGAAAACTGAAGAGAAAATTTTGGTTACAGAACTTAAAGGTAGGGAAATCACTACTATATTTTCACTGATAAAAAGTTAGGAAATGTTATTGAGTATCTAGCTCTTATAGGCCATCAGGTATATAGATAAAATAAAATGAGATTCTATTTTTTTTTTCAGATGATGATAATAATGGGTGTTATTGGACTTGTAATCCTCATCATCATTGTCAGTAAGTATACTTTAATTTTTTTTCTACCAATCGAAATGAATCAATATCACAATTACATACTCAATATCACAAAAAATATCTACAATTACCTACCCAACTCAGACACTTCGTAAAGAAATATAAAGAAATTGTTTCGTTAATCTATATAATCGATGAAACAAGAAACTTCATGTTTGTGGCGTATCAGACGAAATTTATGAACATTGAAAGTTCGAATCAAAATGTGGTGTCAGAAAGTGTCAGGGCAGGAATACAAAAAAAACTCTCCAGGTTAATACCACGCAAACTATCGAATCAAATCTGTTCAATACCGGTTATGAAAAAAAAATTAAAAATATAAAACATACCTCGGCTCAGATGGTTGATGATTCTAGATTAAAGTGACATTACTAAGTAGGAGGGACCCCTAGAGCTGTAAAGAACAAAGCAACCTTATAAAAAAAAACAGAAACGCACATTATAATGGTTAGGGTCGTTATTTCAAAAAGATTGAAGGTGGAGCCGTGACGTATTAGCCCCGAACTGTAGCTATCTCTCTCTGATAACTTGCCATTCTGCAGTGTTGCATTGTGATTGGTAAGCTCAAGGACAATAGGCGTGTTGGGATCAATACGTCATACAAAAGTCACACCATATCAACAAATATTAAGCAAACTATATAAATATCTCATTTTAACTATTCACTCTCTAAGGTCTCACCAATTTGGAACGCTAAAAAACCTTTGTGTTGAGAACTGCAGCTAAAATGGTTGACACACATTTTGAATCGGATTTCCGAATGCGTTCATTTCGTCTTTTATGTCATAATGTTCCTATTTTTCTTTTACAATAAACATTGCCGAACTTACGCCTGTCTCTCTTTCCCAGTGAACTTCATGTAAAGTGCGGGCCAAAAATTCGGTAATTGTGAATGAAATCTGTGTTTTGGTGTCGACGCTTTCTGTCTGTCTTTCTGTCGTAGAATACTCCCAAAAACTGTCTTTCCTCACCATAAACTATCAAGCATACTGTTGAACTAGTTTTTATCACAGCACAAATAGACGGAGAGCTGACCACAAATTGCATTGTCCGATTTATAGATCGATATCTCCTACCTTATTGTACTGCCGTAACATCACCAGAAACTGAACGGGATGTCTGGCAGGTTTTCAGTGGTGAATGCGTCCGTAGTAAGGTCGTAAAGGGTTGAAAAAACAATGCAACGTACGATTAATAGAGCGCTGAATTTTTGTGGGTTGGTAGCGGATTATGTTTGCTTTTCAATGAAAATTATGCCAGACACATTGAGTGTTAGAATCATACCGCCAGACAGCGATCAAATGAGGATTTTTCGAGGAATTTATTGCCACCAAGCTGGAAATCGTTTGAATTCCTTCATTTGGTCCTCAATAAGTGCAATGTGAGTCTGCATCATCCCAGGAGGTGAGCTTAACTTTTGGGAGCCCAAAAAGATGTGAAATTTTGCACTTTTTTCAATTTTTTTGAATTTTGCGTAAAATGAGCAAATAAAAATCCAAATTCGGTTTAGTTTAGTAATACAGCCGAAATCAAGAGTTGAAAACCGGAAACTTTGTTCATTTCAGTGCAAATTTACAATTTGGGACTTTCCAGCACCACATATCTTCGAAACAGATGGTTAGGTTAGGTTCCATGTGAGTGGGGCGAATACCTCCCCTCCACTGCGACCCCAGATGGGTCTATTGTGGCTCACCCCTAGAGGTTACAGTTCGCCGTACAATCCACATCTTTTTACAAAGTTCATGGTTGAATTGGCTAAGATTTGTCTGAAATCGATAGGTTCTGAATTGGTAAAGCCAACTGTGTCGAACCTTAGTCTCTCTAAGCTAGAGCATGAACATAATATGTGTTCAGCCGTTTCGTCTTCCACACAACAGAACCGACAGTCCGTTTGTTGGTTCAGACCAATCCTTCCCAGGTGGTATCTTAGACGAAAGTGTCCCGTAAGCAGTCCAGTCAGAATTCGCAGGTTACCCCTGCTCCATTCTAGGATCTGCCTGGTTATTTTTTCCGATGGTTTAGGCAGGAACGCCTTCGAATGGGTTAGTTCTGGTAATTCAGACCAGTACGTCAGTGTTTTTCGAAACAGATACTTTTATGAAAAAAAAAAAACTTATATCAGACAAGTTGTAGATAATAAAATTTCAAGTCCAAGGCTGTCTCATGGTCGAGGCATGACAGTAGTCTGGTTCGAAGATATGTGGTCCTGGAAAGTCGCAAAATGTAAGTTTGCACTGAAACGAGATAACTTTCCGGTTTTTTACTCTTGGTTTCGGCTGTACTACTGAACCAAATTCAAAGTTTCATATACTCATTTTACGAAGAATTTAATCCTATTTATTATTGAACTTGGTGTCATTTTACGTCCAAGGCGATTTTTTCGAGCTACAAGCAAAAAACTGAAAAAAGTGCAAACATTTGGGCTCTCTTAGGCTCCCTGAGTTGATGCAAACTCACATTACACTTATTCTGGACCAAATGAAGGGATTGGAACAATTTCCAGCTTGGTGGCAATTAATTCCTGTAATCAATGTTTATTTATACGAGAATAGTAGAGAAAGCTCCCTTGCTTCCTAAGCAATCTAGCTTACATCACATCACACGCAATAGTGATCTTATTAGACCTCAACGTTACAAACTCAGCACATCACAAAAAATTCTCATGATCTCAGATTATATAATGCTCTTCCTGTCAGTATTGAAACTATGAATATGTTTTATTTCAAGAGAGTAATGGAAGATTATTTCGAAAAAAATGATTTTACTCGATTGCAGAATATCTGGCCCACGTTAGTGGCCACAATTTTGATACAAGGATCTCACTTGCCGAGCATCCACTATTTTAGGGAAACGTGAATGTGTATTTTGTTTTTGATTGTATATTATATGTCTTTGACTGTATATTCTTTGTCTTTTATTGTATATTATTATTTTTATACTTGCTACAAATGTATGAATGTATGAATGTACATCAAGTAGTCAATCAAACTCTACTCTACTCTATTAACGCTGTCTGACGGTATGATTGTAACACAAAATGTGTGTGGCATAATCTTTATGGAAAAGCAAACATAATCGACCACCAACCCACAAAAACGCAGTGCTCTATTAATCGGATTGATTTTTTCGACCCTTTACGGCCATACCACGGCCTCCACCACTGAAAACCTGCCAGACATCCCGATCAGTTTTTGATGATGTTACGGCAGTACAATAAGGTAGGAGATATCGATCTATTAGTCGGACAATGCAATTTGTTTTCAGCTCTTGGACCTAAACATTATGTAAGTGATAGAGACGAATAAAATTATCTGCAATTCGATGAACACACTTTTTAATGATAATCCATTATATGGTTTTGCTCTGACACTTACAGTGCGTGATTTCTTTTCATATTCTGCGCATGATTTTTCGAGTAGGTGCAGTTGATGCATGCTACATGAATTTTCTTATGTAGTTTGTAGGTAGATTTAGGCGTGTATACAATGGACAATGGGAGTAACAGGGCAATAATAAGGAAATGTTCGACTAGTATCTTAAAAAAAAAGGCAGAGAACAACCTCAAAAAAGTAAAACAAATTCTTGCACAACCAGAGAATTATCATCTAGTTCATTTTCCGATAATTTTAAGTACATATCAATTTCAATTTGGGCAAGATATGAGTTGGGCTCATTACTTCCTAGAAGATATTAATTATAAAATCGTAACTGTATTTATCCTTTTTGTTGTATGTTTTCTAACCTCCGCATTAAGAACTGTATGTGCGCCTATGTAAAGAAGTACCACTTATATTTCTTGGATAGATACTTTAAAGGATATTAGCAGGAGGACAATCTTTAGTTGTTGGTTCCGGGATAAAAAAAAGTGGAATGAGAATGTTTTGTTGAATTTGTTGAATACGTATATTTTTTATGCAATTGTGTTTCAATTAAAATATAGATTTTTTGAGGAACTTTACTTATCACCACCATCCGTTACCATGAAATTATATATTAATATTTCACTTTCTCAGTTTTTCAGTCACATCTCCTGTATATCTACAATATATTAAAAAGTTAATACGATGTTCAATCATCGAAAATCCAACAGCTAAAGATAATAGACTTCCTGATACATCCGGTATCTATCTAGGTATATTAAAAACATAAAGAGTTTTATCGCATGTGACGCATGGTAGACTACTGAAATATTTTCAGATATCAAAGGAACTTTTTCAAATGTTCACAATAGTAGATTATATACCCAGGAACTAAAATTACACTTTTAATCCGCATGCGAAAAGTTTGTACAATTCGCTAGAGGATTGAAAATGACTTCATTTTGTATACTAACATCTCCAATAGTAAAATTATCTGGAAATATTAGACTCGAATTAATAGCACCCTTTGATTATCGAAAAACTTGTAATCTTTTCCAGTTCGAAATTTTGGCAAATACAGAAATCTTCAATTTATGAATCCAAGACACCAATAAAAATTTCAATAGAATAATTATTATATTCGAAAAAGAAATAAGCTAACCCAACTAGCATTTTCAGTCACAGGCACCATGGTTCAAGAAACTATTACCTATATTTAGTGATAATAACGTATTTATCACTTATTTCAGAACTTCATAGTATAAATGTCAGTGATAGTTATTTAGTGAGTGAAAATTACGTAGTTTTTACACTAGATAATAACTTCAAAGTGAGAAATTCTCATGGCTTATTACGAAGTAACTATTTCGAAACTGTCACTCCTCAAAACTACTCTTAAGGTTTCGGAACTTTGAATATATTATTACGGTAACGCTTACCACCCCAAGAAGGCTTCACAGTTGCAATGACTCTATGGTCACCAATTAGGTTTCTACGACGTTGTCGTTACTTGATCGATCACCTAATAATTTAGTCAATTCTTGGTGATATTTCAAGTAACATATTGGTAATTCCAATTCCTTCATAGTTGAAACAACTTTTCGGTAATTATATTCAGTTGAA